ACTTACTTTTTTAGTATTACTTATAGGTTCTTTTATATATAAAAATAAAAGTTCTATTTTAATTTCTAGCTCGCTATACTACGTCTTATATATATATTTAACGTTTATAATTAAAAGAGTAGTCTTATTATTACTTTTAAAAAAGTAAATTAAAATCCCTTTTTAATAACGAATTGCTACCTCAAGGCTTTATAATATAAAAAGCACTTTTTTCTTTATTTTAGTCCTTAAAAAGAACCCCCTAAGCTACCTATTATATTCGTTAAAAGCTATAAGTATATATTATTATTTACCCCCCTAACGGAGCAATCCGCCGGGGCCGTACCGTATATTACATATTAAGGAAAACTAAGTATATTACGCTCCATACCTAATTACTAATTAAAATTAACTAACTTAATTATTATTATTTTTTTATTAATAGCTCCTAATCTTCTATTACCTACTTATAGAGTAAGCTTTACTTATTTTAATACGCATAAGACCTCTTAATACTAACTTACGTAAGTAGCTAGGTTTAATATAATCTATTTTTTTATATGAGTATTATTATTACTTAGGGGGTCTTATAAAAGCTATTTAAAGCACTAGCTTATTACTCTAACCCTATATACCTCTAGCCCGTTTATTATAATTATTATAGCTAAGCTAGTATCGATATATTAAATTTTAATATCTATATTAACCTAGCTATTTATAGTATTTATAATATTACCTAACTAAATTCCGTATTATTAAAAAGTACTTTACTACTTTTAAGCATATTTACGTTAGTTATAATAGCTATAGCGTCGAGCTAGCTAAGGGCGCCTAGCCCGAGAGGGGTAGACTTATTAATAAGTATTTTTAGGTTCTTATCGAGGTAGTAGTTTATATATTAATAAGTTTATTTAGTAAATTTATTTAGTAGATTTATTTAGTTTAAATAGAGAGTAACTTTAGGTAATATTAGAAATAATAAGGATAAAAAAAATCTTTACGAGCTTTAAAAAGTAATAAATATTAGCCTATTTAGCCCTTTTTTTTAAAAACCTCTATATTATTATTAAAGTTTAGAACTTTTATAGTTAAGGGCCGCCTCTAACTATTATAGCTAACTATAGTAACTAACTATTATAATTAATTATTATAATTAACCTCTACTATTAACCTTTTTAACTAGCGCTACTATTAAAAAGGGTAGCTTATTTATCCTAAATTAAATAGTAATTTTCGTATTAAAATTACTATATTACGTTAAGTACGTACTTAGGATATATTACGTATATTATATAGTTAAAAAGTATATTATATTATATAATTTCTTTTAAAAGCGTAATCTTATTAAGGTTAATCTTTTATACTTATAAAGCCGGAAAAAAAAAACCACTATATATTATTATTTACTAAAAAATAGTTCGAAATAAAAAAAATCTTAGTATATATAGTACTATAGCCGTAAAGCTCTTTTCGAGAGTAGTCTTTTTAAAACTACTATTTTAGTATTAGATAATATATATACTTTATACTTAACTTATAATAAAAGTTTAATACGTACGCCTCAAATCTTATATAATAATTAATAAAAAGTATTAAGTCCGAGATAACTTATTTTAAAATACTAAAAGAGCGCGTTATTAAACCTCTTATAAGTACGTTAATATAAATAATAGAATTTTTTATAGTTAATTAGTAATATAATACTAGCTAAGTTTTATAAAATACGTTTAAAGTTTATAAAAAAAAAATTAAAAGAGCTTATATTTAAAAAAGACTAAATTATTTTTTTAAATAAGCTACTTTTTAATAGTACTTTTATAAAACGTTCTTTATTATAAAATATAATCTAAACTATAGTATTAGAATACGTTTCTATTTAATAAAGTCTTTAAGATTATATTAATATAAAATCCCTTAATATAAATAATATTTTAGAACTTTAAATTATAAGTTCCCTTTTCTTTAAGTCTATTTAAAATACTTTTTATAATACGAGTACTATATATAATAATAAATAATATAATAGTTCCTAATTTAATATAGTCTTTATTACTTAATAATACGTAACTCTTAGGTTTAAGTAGGCTCTTATTATTAACTAGATATATTATTTTATAACTATTTATTATTATATTTTAAAAAAGGGGGTAAGTATTACTTATAAAAGTACTAAAAATTACGTTTATTTTTAAGTCCTAACTTTTTATAAATATAGCGATTATATAGCCCTTATCTTAGTTTATTAATAAGCTTATTATAAGTTAGTTAGAGGATCTTTTTAAAAATCTAAGTTTTTTAAGAGTTCTATTATTCCTTAGCTAACTAGTTTTTTTAAGCTTATTATAAAATAATTTTTAATTATTTAATTTAATAATAATAAGGACTTTTTTTATATAGCTCCTTAGTATTCGTATTAATAACTTATTAATATTTTAGTTTATAAATACTTATTTTAATTTTTAATATATTATAAAGTACTATAAATATACGTAATTAAAAAAATATATAACGTTACTCTTATTATTTATATCGTTAACTAAGTTAGAGCGTTTAGTAAAAGTAAAATAAGCCCCTTTTTAATTTAAAAGTTATTTAGTATATATATCTTAAGTTACTAAGCTAAATATATATATAATTTCCTTAAGGGTCCTTATATACGTTTTAAAAGCTATTAATTTATTAAAAGTTTTATATATACGTTAGCCTTATATAAAGTTAAGTTTCCCCCTAACGGAGTAATTTGCCGGGGCCGTACCGTGTATTACGTATTAGGGAAAACTGGGTATATTGCGCTCTATACCTAATTACTAATTAAAATAGTTAACCGACTTGACCGTTATTTTCTTTTTATTAATAGCTCTTAACCTTTTGCCGCCCGTTTAGAGAGCGAGCTATACCTACTCTAACGTATATAAGACCTCTTAGTACTAGCCCGCGTGGGTAACTAGATCCCGTATTATATACTCCTTCTTATCGAGGGTTAGGGGACCCCTTATATATTCCCTTACGTTTATAATATAGCCCGTATTAGAGGGATTTCTAGCTCCGTAAAGTATAATTTCTAAGCTAGTATCGATATACTAGATCTTAACGTCCGTATTAGCCCGGTTATTTACGGCGTTCGTATTATTACTTAGCTAGATTCCGTACTACCGGAAAGTACTACGCTACTCTTTAGGCGTACTTACGTTAGCTACGATAGCTAGGGCGTCGAGGGGGCCTAAGAATCTATCGAGCCCTAGAGGGGGGGACCTATTGAGGGGCATCTTTAGCCCGCTAGTTGCTAACTATATACTAGGAGTAGAGTAAGTTCTTAACGAGTAGTGGTTTGTGTGTTAATAGGTTTATTTAGTAGATTTGTTTAGTGGATTTATTTGGTTTAAATAGAGTAGCTTTGGGCGATATTAGAAGCGATAAAGATAGAAAGAATTTTTACGAGCTCTAGTACGAGTAGTAAATATTAGCCTATTTAGCCCTTTTTCTAGAAACTTTTACGTTGCTATTAAAATTTAGAACTTTTATGGTTAAGGGCCGCTTCTAACTATTATGGCCGACTATTGTGGCTAATTATTATAGCCGACCTCTATTATTAACCTTTTTAGCCGGCGCCGCTACGTAAGTATATCACTTAGCTTATCGTTAGTAAGTAGCTAAAGAGGGTAGCTTACCTATTCTAAATTATATAGCGGTTTTTGTATCGAAATTATTATATTATGTTAAGCGTGTGCTTAGGGTATATTGCGCGTATTATATAGTTAAAAAGTATACCGTATTATATAATTTTTTTTAAAAGCGTAATCCCGTTAAGGTCGATCTTTTGTACTTATAAAGCCGGAAAAAAACTACTATATAAAGTTAAGTTTAGACTTAATTATAATTAAAAAATCGAGTATAATAATCTCTTTACTAATTTTTAAAATATTATATATTTTAGCTTAAAAATAAGTAAATTACTACTCTTTATATTAATATTAAAGGTTAATTTTAATCCTCGTTTTATTAAAAATTTATTAATATTCCTCTCGAACCGTATTCCTTATTACTAATTCGGGGGGTATAAATTCCTATTTTAAATATTTAATAATTTATTATATACTAAACTTAGCGCCGTTTTTAATAGCTTTTTAAAACACGTATTTATATAATATAATATTAACTAATTTTATTAATTACTAAGTAAGGATTTTAATATATATATTAATAATATTATGTTTATAAATTATAAGTTATTTATATTTAATATTAAATTCTTATTATTTTTAAATATTTTTAAGTATATAAATCCTTTTTATAAGTATAATATAAAAATAGATTTATTTATATAAAATAAGTAATATAGCTAGCTTTATAAAAAAAAACCTAGCTTAGTTTTATAAATTACTTATACTTAAAAAAATTAAAAGGTTTATACTAGGAGTTATATTTAAAAATTATTAATAAAGGATTTTTTAATTTTTTTAATTATTTTTAAACGCTTTATAACGGGCTTAATAAGCTTATAGTTTTTTTTAATTATAAATTATAACTAATTGTCTAAATTTAAAAAGTAAAATAAGTATTATAAAAGGATTAAAAAATATATTAGAGTTTAGAATATTTAGGTCGACGTATTTCTAAACCTCGATACTCTTATTTATAGTATAAAATATATTAAATTATTTAATTTAATTATTATAACTAGTTAATTTAGCTTAGGCTAAAGTAAATATAAATAAGTTAATTATTTTAAAAAGATCATAAAAATCGTATTAATAAGTACGTTATTATAATATAAAGTTTTAATTAAGAACTAAGCTTATAATTATTATAAGTTATAATATATAGTAATAAGTATATAGAGTATAATAAAAGTAGCTTAATTATTAAAATAGAAATAAATAAAAAAAAAAGGTCTATATATACGATATCTAAGATAGATACGTAATTTAGTACGTAATAAGTACTTCGTGAGGTGCGATTACTATCCCTGTTACGTGACAATAATGGAATACACATGTACACAGCAGATGAACCAGCCTATCTCAATTTCCCCCTTCTTGGCGGAGCCTTTCCAGCTCACGTATTCGAGCCGCAGATCTCGCCTTCATTCTCTCCATGACTTGTCGCGAGGCCTCCTGGTCCTCAGCTAAGGTCATTTCGACCGCTCGCGGTGGGCTGGGCTTTCTGTGCCATTGAGCCCACCCGTCTTCAGTCCCGATTCTAATCGGCCCACCGAACAAATGGACGGCCAAACTGGTTTCGGACGTCCACAAAACCTTCCCCGCCTGGCGTTCGAGCTTTCCCAAGGCGTCTAGAATCCTCTCGCGCATGCCCATGAGCCACGGGTGCACGACAGAGATGTACTCGTGTATCGTGAGAAAGGTACCCGCCGTCGTCACCTCAAGCTGAACGTCTTTAGCCCGGGGCCGGTTGGGATCCGTCAAGGTATCTGCAACGCAGTAGCGATTCAACTCGACCCAGAGCTCTTCCCATGAGTCGAGTGCCTCGACTCGGACGGTGACGGTTGTGACGGGGGGCGCCATGAGAGACTCTTGCGATACAGGGTGCCAGCTCGGCTCGAGACCGCTCGCAGATTCTTCGGCAGATATAGGGCGAAAGTAGGGCTCCATCACGTCCCCTGGCTCGTAATAGTGGTTTGGCGTGACCTGAATTGCGCTCTCGAGAGGGCCATTGAGCGTCCAGAAAAGTCGCTTGGTGGCTGGTGTGAGCATTTTGAAGTCCGGGTACTCAGGGAGGATTCTCTCCAGCAGGGTGGCGACGGAGGGCTCTGTCCATTCCTCCATGATTTAGTTTCGCGTACGTTTGTGTGAGTGTGTGAGTGTGTGTGAATATTTGTGTATGATCTGAAGCGAGTTGGTTTACAGATGAACAGGAAGGGAAGTGGTGTAAACGGACCGTTTTGTAGTCCGCTAGCCTTCTTGGGACACCGTTATGCGAAGCGCCAAGCACGATACATACTGCGAGAAACGGTGGAAACAGAATCTGGCATTAACAACTTACAAGTGATTTGGCCGCCCCTCAACGCGCAAATCAGCGTTTAAAGTCTTGTATTACTGCTTGATGTATTGCCTGCCAATTCTTGAATTGCGAATTGACGGCGTAGCCTTTAGATACCTGAAGCGATGCAATTTGCAGGCATTCGACTTTTTACAATATTGAGGGCTACCAACATAACGATGGTCCTTCATAAGCTAGTTTTCAAGAGCAGAGCCATTGCGGTTCAGCTACTAATCAGGCATTTTAGTGTGCTGCATCGTCCGCGGTCTTGACCTGGTACACAAAGTTGGAGGATGAAGACAACCCCTTTGCCATGATAGGTTCCATATCAAGGCCTGGTGACATTTCAGTTGCCTACAAAATCTGAATCAGTACAGTCTTGTGAGGGATTTCCGGGTGGGGGGAAAAGGGCTTTGCGAATACTTACCTTGTCAACTACCTCGGATTCGAGACCTCGCTGTCGCATATCCACCGCGAGCTGAACTGCTGTAGACTTCGTGACGGGATTATTCCACGCCTTGGCGGCTAGTATGATGATGCGAAGGATAAAATCAAGGTTATCCTGCCGTCGATAGTCTTGAGCGGACGTATCCCAGTTTTCGAGGAACACGAGAGAGGCTGTGTATATGGAGAAGGTCATCATGGGATTCTTGAGCGTCTGCGTGATATCAGGCATCATTCGGATGATGTTCAGAATCTCTTCGGCGGCGCAAATCAATCTCGCCTGGCTCTGCTTCGCCATGTGCTCCGGCAGTCCGGACGACTCTATCCTGGCGAGAGCTGCTCTATGTAGCAAAATGACCGACGTGTGGATGATGGCGTTGACAAAGGTGGCGTTGCGGCTTTGGATATTGCGGGGGAGCGTCAGGTCGTCCGGGAGGGCGGCAAGGAGACCTACTAGGTCGTTGTCGATCTCACGGTGGCGTTTCCAGTTCCGACTTGTACGTGGGTCGGTGAGGCCATCGTCTGGTAATGTCCGTGTCGAGTGCTGAAAGGCTTGGAAGAAGCATGCCGCGGCCAGGACCCGTCCTGCAAAGGCGGAGAAGTCGCGGCCTTCTTGTAGGAGAATGCTCGTCAGAGGGCTCGTCTGCTCCTCGACGCCTGTTTCAAATGCCGTTTCTGACGCAGGGAGATGTGTAGTAATCTGCAAAAAGTTATGTGAGCACGAACGGTCAGACCTTAGGTATCATGTCTTCTCCAACGAGGTAGGTACGGTACGGCGTTAGATGCTGTTTACTTACATCTTGCTGGTTGATCATTACCGGCCAGCCCGTGCTACCGCTAACCAACCGATCCGAGCAGTAAATTACCCACCATGTCCTCCGCCTCTCCTCTGCCTCAGACCAGTCCTGTGGAGGTGGAAGCAAAGACGTTGCATCGACGCCTTCCCCGTCAACCCGGTGAAGGCCGAGCATCTGACCGATCCTAACGGCTCGACAAAGACTCATTGAAGCCTGCGCAAAGTAGAGTTGCTGGGCTTCAAAGTTGGCGATCAGTGTCCAGCACTGAGCATGTGCTACAGTAGCAAAGAACTGTCCATCACCCTTTTTTTGGGTTGTGTCAGCAACACGGTCAAGCTAGAATTCGCCGATACCTCGGTAAAAAAGGGCCGCACAACTCACTCTCATTTCATCGGCTTCTACATATGCCTTTGCGCGATGGTAGAACGGCATGGCGAGCTGCCTGTGAGTCTTGGTTACTTCTGCGCCGGAGGCCATGACGATGTATTGTAGGCACATTGGAGGCTGCATATGAGGCGGCAAGTACAATGACATGGTATACCGAGTTGGGTGCAGCATTGGCGCAGCGTATTGCCATTTTTCAAAGTAGGTCCTCGTTCTGCCGGTAGAGTTAGAAACGTGATGACTTCAATCATCTCAAACCAATTAGTGACAGTTCTCACAGAAACTCAATGACGTCTTGAGACGGTGATTGCTCAAAAAGCCCGAGGGAGAGTAAATCTGTGAAAGACGTCTTGTCGTTTAGTGGGGGTTGATTTTGATCTGGAGTACCGCTGGTAGATGTCGTCGCATACGGCAAATCTCTCGTCAAGCAATCGGCACTCTCGCCGGCAATTTGCTGAGGCGGACTTTCGCCATTTTCAGAGGCAGAAGGGTTGTCTCCGGTCTTTGCCAGTCGCTCAAGTTGCTCTATAAGAATAAGAGTGTAAGACTAACTGGTTCCAAGGAACATCATTGCCACAAATCCAGTGTGATTGTACGCGGTAAAAACAGAACTGACGTACCTAATTTAGCCTCTAGCTCATGCACGCGTTTCCTCCTGCCGACAATCGCTCTTCTCGACTGTGGATAGTCGCAGCTGTCCCCAAGCCTCGCGCACCGTCCACAGCGCGGGCGGGCGCGATCGCACCTGAGTTTTCGTGTTCGACATTGCGTGCATGAGAATTGGTTGGCGGGAGCATCATTCCCCTTCTGCGATTGCATATTTTCCCTTAGGGTGTCGAAAGATACAGCGCCAAAGAAGAGCGGCGGCTCTCAACCGGTAGACCATCGCCATTATGTTCATCGTGGCAGATTTGCAAGAGTCCAACAAAAGGTTACACTGCTTACATAATTACTCTACCACACGAGTAATGCACAAGATTAGGTTCCTCTACGTAAGGGGGACTGCCTATTTGAAGGTGGAATGTCATTCGACGTTTGCGTACGGCCGGTCTCCGATCAAGTGCGAGCCGCTAAGGGCCCCATATTTCCCGCTGTATTCGACCAATCTTTACGGAATACGAGAGCGAGGAGGAGCCCCGTCCGGGACCGAAGTTTTGCCCTGTACCCGGGCAGCGCCCCGGACTTGATAATTAGCACTCTCGGCGGATGCCGTTCTTATCATGAGGTCGTAGCAGTGCAGCGTTTGCAGACGTTGTATCTATACCATGGCCAACATGTGGAACGATCGCACACCATCATGGTGCGAGCGTTTACCCTTGTTCTGAATATTTTGGCGCCTACGATGTTATTTCTGGCTTCATCCAGGTCTGCTAGATGATGCACAAGTGCAAAGGCGCTCACATTGGCCTTTGACCGACGCAAAACATTGTTTTGTAGAATGTCAGCCATCATATCCCCATTGAAGGGCAGGCAGGGTCGTCAAGATGGTGTAAGTGTCATGGAGAGCGAGCGATTGATGGTTTTCCCGTAGAGTATCGTTCTGGGGTTCCCTTCACGTGGGTCTATAATTTGCGAAGTATTATAGGTAGCGTGGCAAACTTATGTACAGGCTGAGACTAGAAATCGAGGAGACGAATTAAGGCAGTTAGCATCAAGAAATCTTCAGACCGGTAGAGTCAAGACCATAGATAATCTAATGAACGCTTTCATCCAACAAGGACCCGCTATTGTAAGCAGTAGAGATTTTTCACTCACTTCTGTTCGAGATGAACTTCCTAATCTCCCTGCAACGGCCTCTTACGGATAATCAGCTTGAGAAAATGCTCCTTGTTTTTCCCCCTTAAAACCATCATGGCAGTCTTGAATGAGTTTGGAAGCTGCGAGTAAGCAGCCTTTTGTTCCATGGCTCAAGGCTTTTTCCTCTTCCAGGCAGTTTAACAGTGCACTCGCACGATTGACATCTTCGGAAAAGATGATATGAATGGCCAATTGGAGGAGGTCGAGTAAGAAATGACAAATTCTCGCTTTCGACTAGCGCCACACAATGGCAACCTGTTTGAAAATCCGTAGCTTGAGTAAAAGCAGACTGGCGGGTTTGAGATCCTTGCAACATATGGCCATTTCAGAGTACCTGAAGTTGCACGTAATTGTCACGAAGTGGGGGCGGGGATCGCCGCAACATGGCATATCAAGTTGCCAAACTAACTTTTGGTGCGAAAGAAAATACACGTAAGAAGAAAAGGCCTCAAATTTGGATCCAGCAATTGAGAAAGACCGCACTTTGCAGCGTGTATCGTTTCTGGTAGACAGTCGGAAAATTCATGTTTCTGGTATTGTTTGAGTCCCATGTCAAGTCTTGCGTAACTACAACCCCTTGGAACCCATTGTCAGCCATACGAATCCTCAATGTTCGGACGAGACTTTTAGAGGAATGAAAAAATTCCTCTGATGCCGACTCATCCGCAAAGAACCGATTGCTGTCGCATTAATTTATCGGCGCGAGTATCTCTTCTCTCGCGATATGTCGTGGGGGTGCATCGGCTCTGGGTCCCATTCTGTCATCTTGGGCCTTTTCCAGGAGTCCCACTTGGCGTTCAACGACAACGGTCTCTGGCAAAAAGGCTGTTTCAAACCACCAGAAAAATGTCACAAGTGACAGACACGAAACCTCTATCTAAATAAAAAGGCGGGGTAGATTTTTTTGAGCCTAAGATGCATTCAGAAAGTCTTGGAAAGTCAGTAGAGTTTATAAAATCATCCGCTTGCTTTCGTTTTCGTTCTCGACGGGATGCCTGGCGGTCACCGCGCGCAGCAACGCAGCCATCTCGACAAATAGCCACATTTCTTGGCTCTGCGAACAGCCACGGTGGTTCTGCACTCGTCATCCTTGTAAAGGACAGTCAATATTGCCAGCCCAGGTTTCTTCAATATGACTCCGGAACGAAAATTCGCCATTCCAAAGGGCTCAATGGTCCTGGTGACGGGTGCAAACGGTTTCATCGGCTCCCATGTCTGCAATGAACTGCTGCAGCTAGGATTTAACGTCCGCGGAACGGTTCGCGACGTTACTAAATGCGCCTGGCTACCAGAAGCGCTGAAGCGACAGAGACCAAAGGGTGACTTCATGTTGGTTTCATTGCCGGACATGGAGAAGGAGGGCGCCTTTGACGCTGCGGTTGAAGGTGAATGTGTCGAAGCTCTTACTTATACCTCAGGGAGGCTAACACCCTTACAGGCGTCTCTGCTGTGATTCATGCTGCTTCCCCGGTGTCTTTTAGCCCAAATCCCGAGAGCGTCATTCCTCGCAGCATCACTGTGGCTCTCAATGCTCTGAAGGCCGCCAACAAAGCGGCGAGTGTGAAGCGGTTCATTTTCACCAGCTCTTCCGTTGCTGCAGCTCTCCCTCAACCCGAGAAGAAGGGAATCGAGGTGAACTCCGACAGTTGGAACACTGAGTCGGTGGAAATAGCATGGAGGGAGGCTCCGTACCACCCTCAGCGAGCGTGGCATATATATGCCGCTAGTAAGGTGGAAGCTGAGATGGCAGTGTGGAAGTTTTATCACGAAAATATTCGGCGACGTTATGACTTGATAGTCAGCAGCGGTAAGCAACCTGCAGTTCTATCGATACTTGGATTGTGCAATGAGGCTGATTGGGTGTTAGTGCTTCCCGGAACCAACTTTGGAAGAGCTCTGGATGCGGCCAATCAGGGCCATTCGTCAACCTCATCCTTCATCGAGAGTCTATGGAACGGAACGCACGTGGACCGTCTAGCAAGCATTCCACCACGTAAGCGCATAGGAAAATGTTCACTCTTTGCTTATACGAGAAGCTAATACAGACTGCAGAGTATTTCGTCGACGTGGAAGACAACGCTCGACTTCACGTAGCTGCTGCAGTGCTCCCAAACGTTCGCAGCGAGAGAATTTTTGCTTGGGCTGAGCCCTTCAACTTTGATACCGTCCTCGACATTTTGCGCACGCACTTCCCGGAGAAGACTTTCGTGGATAACTTCCATCACTATCGCGAGCTTTCTGTTGTCTCGCAACCCCAATCGCGGGCGGTTGAGCTGCTGAGGCAACTCGGAAGAGAAGGCTTTGTTCCTTTGAAGCAGAGCGTTCTTCTCAACGTTGAAGATCTATCATGAGACGAATACAAGAACGACGAACGAGAGACATGAATCGAGAGCAAGCAGTCTTGAGGATGCGACGATAACGGGCAGACGCCAACAACTAGGGCTCACGATTTCTGCTGAACCCAATTTCTTTGACAACGTCACCTAAGTGTGGCAACATTTTCTTCTTCAATTCCTTTACATGTACATACTTGATCTACATATTCGGTGTCCTTGTCTAGCTTCAACACAAGGCCGGGTCATAGTGTCACTCCTTAAGTAGATCCTCTCAGGGGTGCCGATCGCGCGACAGGGGAAAGGGGTAGCTTAACGAGCATCAACCCTGTCGGCGAGAATGGCCATGGTCTATAAATATCACAATGCACAGAGCACGAGACAAGGTATCACTTGGTTCATCGTGAAAAATGTAAATGCCGTTCGATGTCTCTTGGTTTCTAAACACCCTCAGTCATTTTGCAGACCAAGTGCATTGGCAGCTATTTGCCTGTGGAGGTGGCACAAAGTGTACAATCCACGTATTCGTACTCGCCATCTCAGGCGCCGTGCACAGAATTAGGACGACTGCGGGACGTGGAACCATCAACCCCGCCTGACTCCTGTCAGTTTGTCACACCCGCGCGTTTGTCCAAGCTTTCAGCGCCATGCTGCCACGCCGATCCCAGACGCACGTTTTGGAGATCCCTGAGCATCCGTGTCAGTTGGCTTTCACTGCTAGAAACGTTTAGCTGGTCAGAACCTACCTTTTTACTGGGACCACACTTGAAGTCCCAGAGCGGTCGAGTCGGACGACTGCCGGGTGGAGGTGCAAGTATCGCCGGCCTCAACGGGGAAGCAGGCCGAGCCGTAGTTGCAGAACAACAGCCATTTCTTGGACGTGTTCTTGACAGTAATAGTGGTGTCGGAGAAGGTGACGGAGCCGTAGGAGGCAGCCGTAGCGGTGGAGGTGCTTCCGTCTTGGACGTAGCTGACGCTGGCAACCTGACCACAACCGGGACAGCCGCCGTCGCGAATGCACTCTCCGGCCAGAGCGGCGGGGATGAGAGGGAGGAAGACAGCAGCGAACTTCATTTTGGTAGCGATTGTTGAGATTTGTTGACCGAGAAAGAATGTGTGAACGAAGTTAAGCTGACAATGCTGCGCTGGTGGGCTGGAGAGTCAAGATGGGATGAACTACCAGGAACTGATGCATCGAAGGCCAGGGAGGAACTAGGCGGCTTATATCTTACTTACCATGTTGCATTCCCATCGAGTCTAGAAGGTAGCATCTAGCAGTAGACACCCATGATCTTACGATGTCCGATATTCTGCTTTCGCTTTCGTTAACCACTATGCGCCACTATTGCAGGCCAATCGCTCGAGAGCCCCTGGCCGATGACGATCGGTCCTCAGAAATAGAGTTGTCTTATTGAGGGCAGTCGGCTTAAGTCTCCCGAAGTACTGTACAATTACTGTAGAGTTGTATACATGCGACATTATCCCCGCAACGAACCGCCCAACTATCCATATTTAAGTCAGACCACATGACTCGATTCAGAAGCGTGCCCCGAGAACCCCCTGAAGTTTATTTGTAAGAACTGTCAACCAACCCGTTGATCAGCATAACTCCTTCTATAAACCGGTTTTGTTGTTTGTCGGTAAGTCCGGAGTTGGAAGGTTAAGTTATAAGGTTGTACTGAAAAATGCAGGATGCCTTCTACGGCTAGTCCGGTGCGGGCGCGATGTTGCAATGCACTTTCGAAGAACCAGAGAACCAACTATGGGGGAACAGCCTCATTTTTTCCAAACAGTGTTACCGAGCATTGGAGAAGCATAGAGTTCTCTTAAAAATCTTAAGATCGGTAGCAATTCGCTGGGTGTCGCAACTTGTTAGGATTGTGCGTGGAGTTGCTGCCCGCGCTTTGAGATCAGTAATTCTTTCCGCTGGCCAACTCATGGAATACACCATAAAGATGGCGAGGTATGATTGAAGACCCCAGAGTTGTATTCCCGCGCGGGTCGGACTTTTGTATGCAAGGTTGAGGCAGGGGCTAGCAAGCTCTCATTAGCTGCAATCGGCCCATCTCACCGGCAGATCGTCCTGGAGTCGATTGAGTTGCCTGATGTGTGCAGGTGACGTCACTGGACCAGGTGGTTCTGTGGGTGTTCAACTTCAGCCGTTGATGCAATGAGTGGTCTTTTATGTTGCATTCGGGCTTCGCAACTCTCTGCAAAGCATTTAACGATATGACATATCACGTGCAACTACTGATTGGCCGCTGGGTTCAAAGAAGAGTATCTTGCTTCTACATTAATCATATCATTACCTAGTCTAAGTGCTCTTACTATAGTAGTCATGCAAGAGAATCCCCTCCTGAATCCTTAGCCTGGATTTTTTCACTTCTTTACAAAGGCACTCTCCTTCAACCAAGCTCCCATAGTCAGAATGTCTGGATGGACTTTCTTGACCTGTGACAAATTCGCCTTGTAGCCTTCATCCTTGAACCAGTTGACCATGATACCAATCTCAGAGACTCCATGCTTCAAAGCTTTGCCGAGCAATCCAAACGTGGTCCCGACGGGTGCGCCAGTCGCCTTCTCGAAAGTCTGGTTCATTTGCGAGAAGGTAAGCTCGTCACCAGCCAGACCGACCGCTTTCTTGTTCCAGGTAGCCGGGTCATGGAATGCCTCAGCCGCGAAGAAGCCAATGTCCTTGGTCGCGATCCACTGCAAAGGCTTCTCCTTCATGGTGTCGCGGAGCATGGTGAAGAACACCTTGCCGAAAAAGCCTGGCATGAGGTTGTCCATGAAGATGACAGGACGCAGGATCGTCCAGCCCATGTCGGTCTTGCTATTGACGGCGCTGTCGCGGAGGTGGTGTTCAATTTGATGCTTCGTGATGAAATGTGGTACCGGCGTAGGGTTGCTCCAAGACCGTTCGTCACCGCCTCGCTCGACGCTGCTGTAGACAAAGTGCCGCACCCCTGCCTTAATGGATTCATCCACCAATGCTTTGCCTTGCTTTGTCTCACTATCTGACTTCTGGTCGCCCATTGCCTGAACAGAATACACGCCCCATAGAGGAACGGTTCCGGCAACGGCCTTTGCGGAAGCAAATAACGCCGGGGTTGCATCAAGGTCTCCCTCAACGAGTTTGATGTTCGAGGACTTTGCTGCAAGTCGTTTGGCAGATGTCGACTGCGCATTTCTCGTTACTGCAAGAAGCAGAAAGTCCGATGGCTGTCTGGCTAGAAGAGCACTGATAACGGCACCGCCTTGTTTGCCTGTGGCGCCAGTGATGAGAATCGCGCGTGACATGTTGTTCTGAATTGTCTTGGTAGGTTTGAATAAAAAGTTGTCGTAGAACTTCGGTGTAAGTTGAGATGCAGGCCAGAGGCGTTTGTTGGGTTCTTGTCTGTCGCTAATCGGCAACAGAACTTCAGAAGACAAATCAGTCAAGGAGGAAACACCTCTTTTTGTACTCGTCCTCAGGAACGGTGCGATGTGAAGAAACTTCCATCGTCTAAGCTTCGCTCCTTAGTCATTCAATCCCTGATTGATAAGTGAGAAGCTCGATTACCAACGGCCCGCTCCCGAATCGTCGCCGTCTCGGGCCTCTTAAAATTCGGACCTCATCGGAGGCCGGCGCTGATTCGAGGCGACGTCAATTGACCCCACCTAGCGCCATTGAAGTTGGCCGGTCTGGCTATGAGTTTCACTCGCATTTTATTGACGAAGATTTTTCGTTCTCCCAAATTGCACCGCTCACTCCGAGTCGTTAAGCAACATGGTTCTTTGCATTCCAGGCAAAGTTTGCATCAGTAAAGAATGTGCTCATAAGGTACTTCAAAATAACTATCATTTCACACTCAGAATATAGGCAGAATTGGCCTCAATAGATGTGAAATGACAAATGCTCGCTTGTTATTCTATTTTTGAACTAGCACGCTCAGTTCTCCGTGCAAGAAGAGGGCCATCCCGACTCGTCAACAGCTCCTTGCGCCGAGCAGAAGTAGTATGTATCCTTCGCCTTGTCGTAAGCGAAGTAGATGCTTCCCTTGCCAGAAACGCCGCCCTGTGAGAAGAGTCTGATTAGCACATGAAAGTTCCAGAGGTAAATATGCGGAAGATATCCCATGCTGTTACTTACTCCGTAGAAGGGTATGCCAGAGAGGCTGACGCACTTGCCAGAAGCAACATTGGCGGCAGAGTCGTCCTGTTTGGTTCCGTTGGGGCCCTTCACGGCATCCTGGGCTTCGATCTTTGAAATGGTGGCAGTTTCTTTGCCGCCAGCGCCAGTCTTGCAGGTCAAGCTGGTGGGGAAGTCCACGAACTTCTGGGCGGAGGCGACGGCGCCAAGGGCGAGAATGAGAACGTTGCGGGCGTGCATTTTGACGAGTTGTTAAAGATGCGAGTTGATTGATCACGATTTTTGGGTATCAGAAGTACAGAGATGCAGTGGCAATGTTGCTGTAAAATGTAGAGACTGTAGAGAAGCGACTGGTTTGTGAGGTAAGAGAGTGCGGTGAGGATAATGGAAAGGTTCTGGGCAGAGGGTAGAGAAGCCGCAACTTATACTTAAGAAATCCGACTTTCAAAACCCTTTTAATTTTCATAATTGAGGTTGAGTGATCAAAAGACTCGCCGATTAGTCTGCGACAACCCCTTGCGGAGGCTGCCTGCCGGCCCTGGGCCTTGGAATGGAGTCCTGCTTTCAAATGCGCGACAGGTATTGGCAGGGAAAGACCACACAGCCGCGCGCAAGTAATATGAGCGTCAAACTATGTCAACTGCCGCATCTCTCTAAGGTGAGTTGTGGGGGCCTTAGCCTAGGTAGTTGTAAGGCGAGCATTGCCCAGTTCATCGGAAGATGTGGAGGCGGCCGCTGTCAGGTGGTGTATTTTAAGGTAAGCTATGGTCTTAAAGTTCTTAATAGGCGTTTGGTGTAAATGGAATTTGCTTGGTCAGCTCGGTTCGGTTGCCGACGTCGCTTTTTCCGAAACAGCGCTTCAAGGTCACGACTCGAGCATGTTAGTGTCGCCATCAATAGCCTTTTTCGAAGGACTCAGCCCCTAATATTTGACGAGACGGCTCATTACGGTTTCTTCGTTATGAAAAGACTTCATTTGCACGATAATAATCTTCAACTTGAGTCATGTTGCGTTGATCTCGCAAAATTGCGCTGGTGGGATAGCAGGCCAGAGACACATAATCTGATCAAGAACAACACAACGATCAGATTCAAGTTGTAAACCTCTGTTATAGTCCCACAGCTCTTCATGGTGCGCCAAGGCTTCACTTGTATTTAAATTGCCAGTCTCCTATTCCCCTATGGTACCCGGTCTTGCCTTCGAGGAATTCAAGTTGACAGCAAACAGCTCATCTTCACGCACATCAATGTGGTCTCAATTCATTGCTGAATCGCTCGTATACTCATGCGTGGAATCTGATACTTGACGGCATCAGAAATCACAAACTCCAGCTCCTTTGTTTCTCAAAGTCTATTTTGGGCACAGCAAGTCCTGAAGCAAGAAATATTTTATCGCTGTCTTGGAGGAAAACCCCGTTCAAAAGCCCAGAACATACGGACTCATGCCTTCTCATTCTCTATCATCACTAAGCGAAGCTTGTGACGAGGCTCTTGTTCTCGCTGATGCAAATATGATCAAAATATCTAACATGTAGTGACCACAAGTCTCGTCTCCGTTGACGAAATAAGGCCCCAGATATTGGACTGAGTCTCACTCAAGTCTAGAACAAGGTCTTAGGATTCCAACCACAAGCTACGCCTCTTGCAACGGCAAAAGCGCAGAACGACAAGATGTATAGACCACCCGCAAAGAGTATAAGGCCGTCATAAGTGCCACCTGACCATTGCAGAATAGCTCCAGCGAAGGGCACACCGACAAGGGCACCAAAACTGCAGACAAAGAACGCCGTGCCACTCCTTTTCCCATAGTCTTCGATTTTGCACACCTGTCCAATGCAGACTGGCGTCAAGCTGATGGCAGCTCCGGACCAGAATCCAAACATGACCGCAAAGGCAGTCGTGGCAGCTTCTCCGCCATGCGCTGTCAACCAGAGCGCGAAGATGAATGCCGAGCACACCAAGGCAGTGACGCACATGACATTGAAGGGACCAAATCGGTCTGCGACGTAGCCTGGTAGGGCACGGCCTGGGATCGCTCCAGCGTTGAGCAGTGCACTTAGGAGGAGAGACTTCTGGAGATCGATGCCCTCATGGATAGCGTACAAGCAAATGTAAGTGTACGGGATGAAGACTGCGAACTCGATCAGGAAGACGGCCAATGTTGCGAGACCGAATTTTGTCTCTTTCAGCGCCTTGAGGTCGATTGCGCCACTGGATGTCTTGCTTGGTGGAAGCCTCTTCTTCAAGAGCGTGCATGCCAACACAGACGCGGCAGCACAGATAAACCCAACCGTCCTGATGGCCCATGGAAAACCAGCCCTGGGAGCCATGTAGAGAATGATGAGAGGAAAGACAACGCCGCCGACGCCTCCAGCCGTGCAGGCTATTCCTGTAGCTAGAGCACGACGTTCCGAGAACCAGTGCCCGACTGCAGCGATGCTCGGGTTGAAAAGAAGCGAAGCTGATACGCCGCCGAGGACACCAAAGGTGAGCAAAAACTGATAGAACTCTGGCACAGATTTAAGGTTTAGCAATGTTTGAGACTTTGGCCATTTAGGAGGGAAAATGATGGCCCTTACCTTTGCAGAGACTCATCAGCATCATAGACGCCACAGATCCTACGCATCCGGGTATCACCAGGAACCTCACATCATGAGCGTCAAAGATGGGGCCTTGAAGATTTATCAGCTTGAGTCATTACTTTGATTGAGATGTGTCTCATACCAACTTGAGCGCCGCAAAAGTAGAGGAAGAAGGCGTAAGTGCTAAACACCCAGCCTATTGTCGACTCCGGGAGCCCATGAAGTTCATTCTGTGAAACCCAGGCCTGTAGAACTGCAAGAGTATTGAGAAGACCCATGGATGGTATCATGGCGCACCATGCACCAGCCACAACAAGCCATGCATCTTTGCCGCCCTCAGGGTACTTGTGGGACTCTTGTGCTACGTCCAGAGCTGTCGAGGTTCCAAGATCAGCATATTGTACTTTCGCGCCACGAGAGTATGAACGGCAAGTCAAAAACTTACTTTCCGTAGGTTGCGCACGCTCAAGCGAGTCGGCTTCCTCGCGCTCGGCGAGTTGCATCCTGATGGCGCTGGGAAAGGATATTGAGAAAACTCTTTTACCCGCTTCAGACGACCTCTAGACGGCCTTTTAACTAGGCTAATGAAACGAATGTCAAGTAAGGGCGCAAGACTTCTGTAGCCAAGTTGTTCTCAAGACGAACTCGACATCTGCAGAGTGAAGTTTTCCAACCAATCAAAGCTAGCGTTGACATAAAAACCTCCCAACCGAGATGTTGTGCCGGGAAGTTGATACACAAAAACGGTGAGGCGGGTAATTGTCCGGCGCCTATGTGGAGCTGAGCGACATCGGGAAGACTAAAGCCGGATGGCGTGGTCTCCACCGACTTAACCTCATCTCTTCAAGCACTCGGCGCTTACAAATACAGGCTTAATAGCTTTGGACTTTCAATCTTGAACAAGCTGAGGACTGAATCGGTGGCACGAGAAACACAGCCCTAGCTACTCGAGTAAATAGAGGTGTGTATGGCACCGGACAATGGAACAATAACAATAATTCCATGAGCTAATCTTCATGCCCCTTGATGGATCTGAAAAACATTAGATTCTCTTCAGGACGTACAAGGAGTTTAGTTTCCGTGATAAGCTTGATAATAAACCAGAAAGGTCTCTAGCGGCAAGACCTTGTGTCTTGAAAGCAGGGAGTCGGCATCTGCTAATGACTTTTCGCCAACGAGCCTGTGATATTGGAAGTCTTTAGTCATTAGGAAATGGACATGTGTTCTACTGATAACTATGCTACCATAAGTTCTCTCTAATCCCAGGTAGAAGTCATTTGAGTTTTGCAAGGCGTTGGCAACGATGAAGGTTCGAGGCTTCCCGCAACCTTGAAAAGAGAACAGCGCAGTTTGCGGAGGGTCAGACCATAAAGGTTGGTTCGTAGCCACTTTGATCTAGCCCTGGTGATAAATCTTCCGGAGATACGTCGATTAATTCACTTAATTTCCTCTTTATGTGTCATCGCAGTCTCGATGACTTTCTCATTCACACTTCATCACCACTGCCCAATCCGAACATTGGAACATCATCAAAGCTAAAATACTTGCAACACGCACAACACAAAACAATGGCGAGCTACACTTCGGCCAATTTCCCAACAGCGGAGTCTTATCCCTTCGGCGGAAACGGCGCCCGGCGGCCTCTCATGGACAGTCGTGCCTGGAATTTGATCTTTCACGAGTCGCAAACGAACACTCCCCGCAAAGCCGTTTCGATCATGACTCTTATCTGCCTCAGCACCGTGATGGGATTCATTACGGCGGTTGCCATCGTCATGGGATCATTCTCCTACGCTGCACACTGGGATGTTATCCCTGAGGATATCTGGGACTACTATGAGAACTACGATTTTTCCTGGTCTTTTCGCAACCAGGTGATTTGGCTCGATGCACACGATATCTTCTGGTGGTTAGTCTTCACGGCGGTATGGATGCTGTCGACGATGATCATGTATCGTGTGTTTTTGTACGTCAGGTTTGCCCCGTTTCGCGAGGCGAAGCACAGGGGGTACCAAGATTGATCATGGGATCAAATTTGCGAGCGGTCCCAGTTAGGTACCGCGATCATTACAGCCACTATAGGCTGTCTCAATTCATTACATTGGGCAACTTTTGAATGAGCGGAACAGCTTTTGGCCTTGACGTGGTGATCTCAACCCTTGCCAAGATAGATAGTGTCTACGGGTGATCGGAACATCCGTAGCTCACTTCATCCCTGCCTCGGCCTCGAGGGCATCTTCGCGACAAAACATTCGGGAACCAGTCATAGAGCTTCCGCATATGATGCCTTGGAAGGCATTCGGAGAAGAAGACGAGAAAGAGAGTTGATGGTCATGGAGTCATAGGCCCGAACCAGTCGAGCATCCCTTCGGGAAATGAACATACGGTTCGATGTAGATGGAACAGACTCTACGCCACTGAGATCACTCAAAAATTCGTGAACAGAGATGCAAGATAAACCTAGAAATAGAAGTTGTTACATGCGTCGCCAAGACGTAGTCAAAGTTTGGTATCGCCATTTACTCTCGTAAATGTTCTACGTTCGAGCAATACTAATAGGGATGCCTAGAATACATATATAATCAGGTCTTTAGAAAAAATCAAAAGAGTTCACCCCCCTGGTGCTGAATTGGGGGCTACATCTCTGGTTCGCATGCTGGGACTGCTGGGACTCGAACTCGGGCACTCGTAGCCTGTCGTCGAGTAGGCTGTCGGCGTGATTGGTTGTTGACCATGAACCGTTCCACCACCCACGCCACAGTTTGACCTGACCCCCGACCTAGAGGGCGCCTACTATGCTAGTGACAGGAATGGAGTTGAAGGGGTTTTTATACCTAAGCCGTTCCGTCTCGTGGTCACGTGTGGAAGGTACAGACAAGACCGCTTGCTGCTACCATTCATAATCCAATCACAATATCGACACATACAGAACCTTACAGAGTACAGGTACATTGAAGGTCTCACTTTGAAATTGACCTAGGCAATCAGCCGCAAGAGTTACAGCCTGTGGGCAAGAAAGCAAGAGTTCGAGGCCTTTCAACAACCCAAAAGTACCGAGCGGACATGGCATTTTACAAAGGATTTGGAAAATATGAAGGCTTGTTGACTATTTACGTGTCGTTTCGTCTATGTACAGAGCCTTGGCTAGTTTTGATTGAAATATTTACAGTGAAATTCGAGCAATCAAGTCATCAGAGGCCAAGCTCCTCGACAAGAAGACGACATCAACCTCCCCGCATCCCAGGTTCCGCCACCGGAACCTTCCCTTATCCTCGCATATGAGACTTGAAATTCCAACTAGTAGACGGTCTTGATAGGTGTCTTGACGTGGGCGGCAAGGCTGGTTGTGCCGTTCATCTTTTGGTAGATGGCCTGGACGAAAGCCTGGGAGCTGAGGTCGGCACCCGCGGCGCTGGTGTGCGTGTTGTCCTTGATGTACAGGGCTTTGACGGCTGACGATCCAAGCTTGAGGTACATGTTGCTGACGGCCTGGTGGTGGTCGACGAAAGTGACGGCCGCGTCGTTGATGGTCGCGGCAGCCTTCTTCTGCATGGCGACGAAGCGGGACGGGGTGCCAACCCAGGTGCCCGTGGCCCACTGGTTCTTAGGGGTCTGCGAGCTGAGGATTACGGTTGCGCCCTTGGCGGTCATGAGTTTGGCGGCCTGGATGACGTAAAAGATGTACGTGTAGACGGTCTCGCCCGTCGTGTCCGAGACGCACGTCTCGGTGCCCTCGCCGGGGCAGACGGAGCGGCCGTTGTCGTTGGAGCGCGGGGAGCCGACGTCGTTGTGGCCGAACTCGATGACGACGATGTCGCCGGCCTTGACCTCGTTGGCGACATTTTGGAAGCGGCCTTCGTTCCAGAAGGAGCGAGATGAGCGGCCGCCGATGGCGCGGTTGACGACGGCGATGTTGAGGTACTTTGAGACGTACTGACCCCAGCCGTCCATCTGGGAGTCGCTGCTCCTGGCCATGGTGCTGTCACCGCAGAGGTAGAGGGTAGGGGCGCGGGCCGCGAGCTCGGCAGGCTCGGGAGAGGCGGCGGGTGCGGCGGAGGTGAGGGCGCTCAGCGCCAAGGAGGCGAGAATAGAAGTGAACTTCATGATGTTGATGGTATGGTGTACTAAGAGGTATCCTAAGAAGCAAAAACAAGACGGCAGAGCAAAGGCAGAGAGGCTGAGGTATCAAAGACCATGTCCATAATGAACCGGGACAAACAACGCTCTACTTATGAGAACCTGGATCCAAAGCCTCATGTCTCTCAACAATACCATCGCCTTGCCCGGTAATGAGCTTCAGAGGCAGTGGAAGTCGAGGTTCCACTCCGCTCGGCCGAGACTCCCAAGTTCGTATCTTTTATACTTGCCAAGACGCCCAAGAGAAGCAAAAGCTATTGTTCCGCCAGTCGGGATACCTGCAAGACGAACTAAAGGGTTAGTCAATCTACTGCGTAGTTGTGCCGATACGACATTGGAAAGTCTTGGGCTTGTCAGCTCAACTTTACTTGAGACTATGCATGGCCCCGGCTGGACTGGACCGAATCGCAAGGGTTTCCTCGCCGCTCTCCTGCAAACACCGGATCTGTCTGCCCCCTTTCGGAGGATTCCATCGGTTAAGAACATTAAAGAACCTCCGTCTAGCGTTTGGAGTTGAGCACAAAAGTATGCTTCTTTGCTAGCGAGGCCGGGGTTCATGAGTTTATTCCTCTTAGGCCCTTGTGCCCGAGTCTCCGAGTGGCTACCACACGTGCACCCTAGCGGCTTGGCCCGTTGCATCGGTCCCCGGCAGACCAGGCACCTTCCCTCTTGGAAGGCCGCGTTGGACAAATGTCAATGGTCCGCCTAAGGGAACTGCGGGGAACTGCCGATCCTTGACTGAAATTGGCTCCGAGTTGGGACGAACCAGCAGTTGTTCGGCTGATGTTTGGTGCGAGACTCTCAATAAATCACGTCAACTGACTTGAGACCGCCATAATTTAAAGGCGAGTTGATGGCTACTTTGTTGGGACTCCTCTCTTGGCATTAATCAAAGGCCATGTAAGCATAAAGCATAGACATAGTGTTGGGGGCAATTGGCTAATTGTTTGGCTTATTACGGAGTAGCGAAAGTTGAGTCGCAGGGTTGAGAAGTCCCGTCCGCTTACACACGCATCCGACTCCTGGTACAAACAGGCCGATCAACCCGGCGCTGGTGCACGAAGGTATTCGTCCTATGTAAAGAGGCGGAATAGATTCAATACAAAGTTGAAAGGAATCTGAACTTCCGAACTATGGACAAGGGCATGTACATTACACGAAGTGCTCTGAACACGTTCAGTTGGTAACCTTCCGAAGCGTGAGAGCTTCCAAGATCCATGGTGACATTTGGAACATGTTAAACCACCAATGAACCCATCCATCGCTCTCTTCTAGCGAAAAACCCTCAAATCATGACATCAAACGCGGAAGTGTCTTTGGAGAGTCTCAAAATACTTGCTCGTCAAGTCTACCTTGAGTGTTCGACAAGAGACGATGTGCAGTCACCCTATGTCGTTCTTTCACAGTGCCGATATCATTTCTGAAGAATATATTTCAGATACGTACAAACAGTTGTCATAATAGTAGATACTGCTTCTACACGAGTTGCACCTCCCATTACAAATACATACCCCAGCTCTGGATTGTAAAGGGCTGGCTTACAGATTTAGGCACGGATGACAGCGTGGCTCACTGAAGACACCTTACTGCGAGTTCGTGCTGTATGGCCGAGTCGTAGCCAAGTAGCAAGAGGCGAAGAGCTCGCGGGCTCTTCAGGTTCATGAGCATGCTTCAATAGGAAATAGTATTCGCTTCCTAAACCAAAACTTCGAGAGCTCGTTCTCCAGGCCGTTTGCCGAAGGTCTACACGTTAAGCGACTGCAAGCTTTGCCGGGTCAAGGCCTGATTGATGAGAATATCTTTATAAGTAGTGAAAGTCACAGTCCTCCAAGATTGGGTTGTGCCGCTACCAGGGCATATATATCAACTTGAAGCCAATCATCACCTTCGAGGAACAACAGCCACGTGAAACGTATACTCATCCCAAATCCCACAATACACATAGGAAGAAGCCCATATCTACCCCTTCAACTCCATCCATGTCACCAGTACAGCAGGCGCTCGTCTAGGTCGGCGGGTCAGGTCAAACTGGCTGGGTGGTGGAGTGGTCTATGGTCAGCAGTCAATTATATCACGCCCAATAGCCTACTCGACGACAGGCTCGAGTTCGAGTTCGATTCCCAGCATAAGCACCAAGAGATGTAGCCTTCCGAGGTGAACTCTTTTGTCTCTTTCTCACTTCTTTTCTAAGGGCTACTGATATGCTTTTGCATAGAATTATTGTGATTAGTCTACGGAAGGAAGGAAATACTATATCATGTATGTGAGCGCATTGCACTCATTCCAAGACACTTCTTGTCCTTCATCCTACTACCTGGACTTCAATGAAGCAAGAGCTACTAGCTCCCAGCTCCTTTCCCATTCGCTTCAAGGTGTTGATCGAGATCGCTGCTGTAATGAACCGACAGAGATGTAGATGGAGTCAATGCATATCATCTCCGAAGACCATGGAGGCTACCAGAGGAAGAAAACCAACAATAGAAAAAAACATGAAGGAGCATTTGAGTATGTCTAGCACCTTTTAGTCTTCCTGGTACGATACGGTACGATACACGAGGCAACTATGGAGGGCGTGGTCTTCTGTTATACTGATCATGGGTACCACTGGGCAGATTCGCAAGTTGTAGAAACGCGGGCCTGGGTCTAGATGATGGATTTACATCTACATCTAGAAAAGAAAACCACGTGAAAGCATCTAGCTTAGGATCAAGGCTTTCAAGACCTGATCTTACCTATAACACGCATCAGGTAGGTGTAAGTCTCAACTAGCCCAAGCCGTCCACCTCCTTCCTACATTACCCGGTCCTCCCTCCCTCCCAACTCTCTAGAGCAAACCACGATCAACCCCTCCTCAAAGCCTCATTCCTCGCCTCCAAAGCCCTCTTCACCCACCCAATCCCCGGCGCACTCTCAAACCCATGCGGCAACCCAGGCCACAAGTGAAACTCAACCTCCACCTCAGCCTCACAAAGCCTCCTCACGAAGTCGACACACTCGTCCCGGAACAAATCCAACCCGCCCACATCAACATACGTCCTCGGCAGTCCCCTCAACTCCTCCACCGAAGCCCTACCCGGCGCAGCATACAACGAGACACCCGCCTCCGCGTGAGGCCTCGGGTCCCCAGCCTTATCCCCCAACACCGCCCGCCACGCGAGCACGCTGTCGTGCGCCTTCCACGCCAGAAAGGGGTACATCGCCGCATTCTCCGGCACCGTGGTCCGGTCGTCGAGCATCGGGTACACGAGCACCTGCTTCCGCAGCGGCGGCGTCAGACCCCTATCGCGCGCCATCAACGTCGCGCCCGCCGCGAGCCCGCCGCCCGCTGAGTCGCCCATGATGACGATATTGCCGCTATCCACGTTCCAGCGCGCAGCGTTCTCCGAGAGGTACTTTAACCCGTAATACACGTCTTCGGCGCCCAGCCCGTCAGGAAACTCTGGCGCGAGCCTGTAATCCACCGCGAAGAACGGCATCCCCACCATCTCGACGAACCGCTTAATCTGCGGGCTGAAGATGTCGACATCGCACGAGACCATCCCGCCGCCGTGGACGTATACCACGGCGGCCAGGGGCTCGGAGCTGTCAATCATCTCCCGCGTCGCGAAGCGGTAGAGCCCGACCTCCTGTCCGTCGTGCGAGGTGAACGGGATACGCGTCTCGAGGACGTTGTCCGGCGTCGGCTGCGCGCGGAGGACGGTGCGGAGCAAGGGCTCAGAGAAGGCGCGGAGTTCAAGGGCGTCCTTGAACGGTGCCGCCGGCGGGGCGGGACCTCCGCCGCCGCTGTCTCTGGCGGCGATGGCGGCTTGGTACTCTGGGTCGAATCGCAGGGTCATGGCTGCGGGAGTTTTGTCTTTTGCGTTGTTGCGCTGTCTATGGCAAGATGTGGAAGAAAATGCAAAGGCACCCACGTCGAACGTGAGAATTTCAGGAATAGTATGCTTCTGGATCGTGACTGGAAAGATGATTGAGAGGGTGCTGTCCCAAGATGTGTGCCCTTTTTAACCGCCAGACGGGATATCCGACGTCGTGAAACTCGACGGGTGCCTGCCCGTATTCCCGAAAGGAGGGGTTCTCGAGCGTCCTTCGCTTTCCGTCCTGTTGTCTTGATGCAGCCATATCTCCTCTCACATGAAAAAACATTAGATCGCGACATCGTGAGGATTCCACGGAGCTTTGCATTTCGGTCGAATGGACCGTCCCCTAGACGCCAGCAGAAGCCGCCTCAGCGTGGTCTCCATGCCTCAAAATTGTCCGAAGCCCATCAAAAGTTGATATGTTCGCCATCATCTGTTCGACTCTGGCAGCATCCCGCCCAACTTTATCCATTGAAGCTTGATAATCACAGCCGACGCGACGGGCGACCGCCTCTTCGCTTTTAACTCGCTTTTTTGGAAAGATTTAGATTGGCTCGACTCAGTCATGATAAAGGAATCCGATCCCTACTCAGCAGTCACAATCCTTCCACATATCCCAGTCTCGAGACAATTGCAACATAGAAAACGCGAGCCGACAGGCCAGTCCACTTGACTTGAATTTATCAGCCATCAACGGTGCCATATCGGAATAGAGGTTTGAATGATATTGCCGGGCGCCAGTTGCGAGAATAATGTTTATGCGACCAGCCTCTTTCCCGACAGATCAACATGCTGATTTCAATCGAGCGAACCATTTCTGAGCTTTCAGAGAGGATTGGTTCATTGGCGGACCGAACAGTGTCCCATTTCCAGTCAATGTAGAATGGCCCGGAAAGCTTTCCTTGGGAATCTATGCGCAGCTCAAACGTTGACGAGAGCCTCCATTTCGGCGGAACGTACCAAAACACCCGAGAACCGCAATGTCTCCTACCAGTCTTGGCCGAGGCACCCATGGCACTGACGACATGTCAGTGCTGGCTGTCAATTGAACGGAGTTTATCGCGCACATTGCCCGTCATGGCTCAGTTTCGTCATCTCCTCGTCGCGCTTGGATTCGAAAACAGTCCTTGCTGCGTTCCAATGGCGATCAAAGTCTTCCTAAGCAAAATGAAGCATCGCGCAACAACGAGGGCATCGCGGACAGCGTGGGGCCGATCGCCTAGTAACCGCTGCTACATCTGAGCGCTTACACAAGGACGTTCTGCTTCTTGTTTGCGCTTGCACCAGAATTCGACTTCAACTATGAAGTGTATGGCGTCAGTAGTCGAGCCTAAGAGAAAATCCTGTTGAGGGCGTTGAAAGCACATGATTTGGGCAGATACCATCTCCACTTGGAGTGTTAGTGTTGGTAAGGAAAAGTGTCGCAGCGCAGTAGGCGCGATCCAGAGTACTGTCGCATCGAGGAGTTCAACACAATCGGGGTCCTGAATCGCGGCATGACCCAATACCCTTACCCTCCCGAGCCTTTGCGATGGAGACAGGAACTCCCGCTGCAGGTTGACCCATCGTTAGTGGGAACCCCAAGCGGTGATAGTTAGCGGCAGCGGATCGAAATGGCACCGCCGAGAAAACACGATGCAGACCGTTGGTGATAATTTCCCATGAGATCGTGAACTCTGATAGACGGTCAATCGTTCGTCTGGTAGGTGCAGGGCTGACGGGGGGGTGTTCGGCTGGCTAGATTAAAGAATCGTTGCTCCCGATCCAGAAGAAAGTAGCTGGCCCACGTCCCAGAACGTTGGAATCGGGGCTGTGAATGTTCCGATGGCACGTTGGCTGCTTCGATCGCTCCAACAAAGGAACCAGTTCGAGGGGCCGGGGAGCCCTGTGTTTGGCCATGCCACGATGCGGACTGCCCTGCAGAACTTGAGGGGATCGCGAAATCCGGGGCCCGCCGTCCGATCTGCGAACATGTCGTGTGAATCGGAAACAGGGATCCAGAGAGACCATTTGGGCACTGCCGCCCGATTCTCGTGGATTTCTCTGGAAATCGGGGCGGAACGGCTCAGGGCTCACTTAGGCCGTGCGCTCACCTCATCATGGTCAGGAAATCTGCGGAATCTGTAAAGCGACAGGACAAACGATGAAGAACTAGGACTGACTTAGAACAGTTTGAATGAGAAATGGGGCCGAGAATTTGAAATCCGCAGTCCTTGCGGATGCTATCAATATTGATTGAAGCCTCAGAAGAGTCAACCTTACCGTAACACCGCTGGGATGTTTGAAAGCGGGCGAAAGAGACACCATGCGTTCCACCAAGGCTTGGCCGGTATCAGCAGAGTCCTGGAAGCATTTTGGCTTCCACAGGCTATCCGGCCGCAAGGTGGGATATCAGAACCAGGGCCGAACGAAAGTCCAGCCACCACACCAATTCGTCCCGGCGGCCCGATGAGTCTGCAGGACTGCTAGTAAATTCCCCCACCCGGCTCCTCGGGCTGCTTGCGCACGTAGCACAGCATAAGCAGAACCTCCTCCCAGTGTTCCCCCAAGCCGGGCATCTCACATGGCACCAAGTACTGACAGATGGTGGACGAGCAATACGGACTACTCTGGCCGGATTGTTGAAATGGCACGATGTCTCTAGTTTGAGTACACAGTGTCTCCCTAACGACAGGGGCTCAGGTAGTGGCTGGTGGGTAATTGAGCGAGCGTCTGGAACGCTGGTTTCCTATCCCGGTGGAAGGCCCTTTTGACTTATCCCAGCCCGACGTGCTTTTGGAAAAACCGGCGTGCCAAAGAGACAAGCTGGAACGGATTTTGGGCAGGCGGCCATCGGCTGTCTGAGCCACCATCGAGATTTCTGAGCAGTTGTGTAGGCTTCCTTATTCTCTTCGAGCACTAGCGGCTGAGCCAGCCTGTCGGTTAAGGTCCCCCTCTCACTAGGTGCGTTGAATAGTACCACAAGCCTCCCGAAGCCAGCCAAGTGAGGAAGCTCTGGTGTGGTAGCGCGTCCAGACATCACGATCAATCTTCCATTGCAGCTTATGTCCGCGGGCCCGGACGCTCTCTAGAGCACCAGAGCGAGTAGGTACGTTTGAGCTGTTGTCTTCGCGATAGTGTCTTTGTCGAGTTGCAAAACCACGTGGTGGGGGATCGAGATGCGATGGATGTCGTGCATCGTCGGAACACTGGCTGTGACCGGTGTTATGCTGATGCAGAAATAGATTATTGCCGCTAACGCAGCTTAAATGCTCTCTGGCTGAAAGAGTGCCATCTCTGAACGAATTGATCAAAATCTTGAGTTGTATCCGGTATGCCAGTTTCCAGGGTTCTCTCGTCGGCGCTACACATCGCATTCTTCCATGGAGATTGCAATGCCAATCCAACGTAGCTGTAATAGGGCACCAGCAACTGCATTCCCACTTTCCCAGTGAACCGTCTCCGCGGGCGTCCTTGGTGCCCGCTCCTTGCGCATCCAGCCTCCAGGCGACCCGTGAGACTTTACGTCAGGGTTCAGGAACGTGGCGCTCCTCCCCGCTGTTTAAGAATATTCCAGTCACCCCTCGGCGTGCGTCTTTGACCAGTGCCATCTGCCGACGTCTATCAACGATCGCCTGATCGCCTGGCTTTGGCCTCCTAGCCTTGCCCAGCAGAGACTATAGGCGGGGCGTCTCCAACGTCGCTGGTGGCCGTTTCTGATTTATGCTGACTCACAAGAAGGAGCAAGGGGCATTTGGAATCAAATTGATGAGATCAGGATCCGGGGTAGGAGGCGAAAAGGTCGATTGGCCGTCACGGCTCCGAACATGAGATGTCAGCGCGCGATCTCTCGCTTATCTAGAAACGAACGTCGACATGATTTTCCATCTTCAACGTCGACTTTTGGCTCCATTAAGAAGCTCTTCTGCAAATTTGGATGGAACACCTGCACCGCTGCATCGAGCCATATATTTTGCGCACACTTCGCCGAGATCGCCGAGATGGCCGAGAATACTCCTCATGGGAATGCCGTAAATTTTATGTTCCTGTGACGTGCGGCGAGCAAAGTGAGCGGTGGTGCTCCTTGCAATGACGAGGAGCCGAGGGTCGCAACATAATAAACGGGGGAAGCAAAATCCCATGCTCCAAACCATGGCAATTTGCGGGGTATGGATGTGCCCGATAACCTCGATCGCCCTCTTGCGTATCGCAAGTTTGAAAAGGGGCGACAGCTCACTGGGCGTGTGCGTCTGTGGTAGCCAGATGGGACGGAGTCGAGTGTCTGTCGTTGTTTCGCCACAAACCACAGGAAACAGGTAATTGGGGAAACGGGGAAGGGTGTGGTTCAAAGGCTTGTTCGCAGGCTCGGCAGGTTGTACATAGCATCTGCTTCACCGGCCGAATGGACTTTCTGGGGTTCCGAGATGCAGCAACGGCACTGTCGACATGGGAAGTTCGTTGGTTAGCATGGTTCCACAGCTAGTAAGCAACGTGCAGCCAGCAGAACCATGAGAGATGAGTGGACAGTGTCGGCTGAACCTCGATGGCTGACGACAAAGATATGTCATTTCTCATGGTTGATTCCCATACGGGAAGTAGGCAGGCGGGTCGACATACTACCCGCTGCCCCGCTGTGGCAGAAGGTCGATCAGAGTAGGTAGACTGCCCGGCGTTGGTGCCCCTGTGTCTGTATGCCGTGGTTCTTCGCAGTCCCTTTGATTATGTGATTATCGAACTTGATCAAAGCACGGATAGGCGTAAGCATCCGTACGGCAGATAGGTAGGCTTGCCCTGGGGGTCCAGAAACCCGGTGTCGAAATGTGCTCGAGATATCCGCCCCCATGGGTTGTAGACCACCACTCTATGGCGTGAATGTAGAATGAGGAGCATAGAGTTGCCGGGACTGGGCCGTGGACCGTGGCCTGCTGATTGGTCTCAGAGAGGTTCGTCCCGCTCGAGGGGTCTGCCATGGTTCTGTTGTAACTCCAAGTATCGGTTTCACACACCAAAGAAGATGGGTGAGCTAGTGGCGCGCGGACAGATTGCTCCGTCTCAACGTCGAGCAACGCCAGTCGTTTTAATAATGGCAAGTCCAACTTTGTCGTCTAACGTGGCGCTTGAGCCAGAGCTAACCCGCGGGCGAGCAGAATTCACCAAAAACGGAACGTAACTACTATTCTCAGCCCAGTATCATCCACTGAATGTTTGAAGCAGCTGATCCATCTTGAGGTGACGTCAAATTTCTTTAGATCTCTAGGAGCAACTCACCAAGTCGACTTCAGTCTGGCGGGGAGAAATTCCAGAGGACTAGGCAAAAATGGATTCTCCTGGGCTTAGGTGACACCCGCAAGATTGGACGATTAGTACTTGGTAGCCGTGGTAGCGTGTACATCCTCGAGACTGATACCTACTCGACCTGATCAACATCGTCGTTAGGCTTGTCTAACCTAGCGAACCAGCTGAAAGCCATCCGCTGAGGTTGCAACCAACAATTCGGTACGCGAGGGGCAGTGCACAGCCATACAACCGTGACGACGAATTCTTGGAGAAGCAACCACCACCATCCCTCGCGTTGGCCACGGCGGCGGCGGGGTAAGAACATTCCGCTCGCGGCTCTTGTCAACTGGAGTGTTATCGCTCTGATCATGGCCTGTGTCCAGTTGGTCTTTTCAGTTGGCCCTTGCTTGTTGTGCAACTCTGCTAGGCGTATGCTGTAAATACTTGAGTGCCCAAAGCTGTATCCAGCATGTGATGCCCACTGAGACCATTCGAGCAGAAGGCGACATGGTCCAAGGTTGAGAATGTGCGAAAGTAGGTTTGTTCTAACCCTTGGCTCGTAAATGAGTGTTGTCACTCTTGAGCTTCTGAAGCAAGAGTCGGAGAACTTGTCGAAAGGTAAGCTGATGTTGTGCCTGGAGGTAATTGGCAAACTTTTGGCTGCCGCCGACGAGAGTCTAGGCCCTCTCGAAGAATCTGCGTGAGCATCACGGCTTCCTCGAGTTAGACTGAGCGGGTCATGGCTGGTCGGATTTAACGCAGCTTTGTGCCACCATTACCGCCTGCGAACAAGGCACCTGCAAATGCCACGTTCCCAGAGCGTAGGCTGGGGGCAGCCATCCCGTCTGTTGGCGTGACCCTGGTGGCACATCTTCCGTAAAGGGTCGGTCTTGCGAAACCTGCGAAGCGCGAGGTGAACCGATATTGATCTGGGAGATTAGGACGATAATCCCCCCACCGGCTTGGTTGAATGTGTCAGAAGGTATACTGTTTCAACCATCGCACAGTCTGCAATTCTTGCAGAAGACCTTATCGCAAGTGGTTTCGTCCTGCATCGGCATTCGCTTGCAAGGCAGGATGACCTCCTGGACTGTCGACTAATGAACAAAGAATGAATTGGCACTGTCGGCACGGCTTGGCTCCTTACTCGCTCGCGAATCTGTTGTTTCTGAAGAGGGCACCCGCCGTCTGGAAGTTCGTAGGTAATAATGGTGCTAGAATATTCCGATCAGTGTATCGAAGCGTGGCAGCGTGTCAATTCTCATCGCCATCTTGCTAGGGGCCCCTAATAGTCGGCATCGGACCCTGGGGATCGATCGTCGCTGTCGCCAGTCGCCCCATGCTACCGGATCCACCCTTCTTTCCGAATTGCGGACGCGGAGAGATTCTAGCACCGAGTGTCGAGGTATTCTGATCAATAGCGCGTGGTGCTATACCGCTGGAGCAACCAAACGCTAAGGTACAGCCCTAGCACAACAGCAAGGTATCTCATGCCACAGATGACAGGATTGGGAACCGCGAACCAAGCATCAGTAAGTTAACCTATCCGTAGTGAGATCGGATGTAATCGGTTTGAGACTCTGGTGCAGTCGATGGCATCGGCTTCATCAGAGCCACCCATACGCAGTACGTCTATTGCCATAGCCACAGAGACTTGACGAGACTATTCGATTGATTGGTGATGCATTTGGGTTCCATGACATGCCAGCTGCATCTTGCTGAGAAGACCAGTGGTAGCGACCTCTCCATTAGATTGGGAGGAAAATCGACTGGGACGACTCGAGGAAGGAGTAGTTTCGAGATCGCTATGGTCGTACTGATACAGGTCTAGCAAGCTATCACCTCGTAGCGAAGCTGTTTTGTCTCAACTGCATTGGGCTTATTGGCGGTGAGGCCTCGGAGTGTACTCCTGGCAAAAATTCCGTAGCCAACCGCTCCGTACAGATTTGTTCAGGTCAAGGGTTGAAGTACGCGGCCTGTCAGCGGGGTAGTGAGGAAATGTTCAAAGTTGTGGGTGTGCCGTGTCTCGAAGCAATGTGCTCCGTAGGATACATGCATGGATGCAGAGCAAAGCACCGCAGGGCTCGTGGAACATTGACCGGCCCCTGCCTCTCTTGTCTTAAGCTCACGCATGTTTGCGGAATGGAGTTTGCCATAGAGGCGCTACACCGTATGGCATGGTGCAATCGCCCACGCATATCAGAACGATGTCAGGTCTACAACTGTGATGTGATATGTCAGAGTGTAGCCGTATACCTAGGACTCGGGCATCCGTAGCGAGCGAGCCATTCGAAGTAAATGAATCACTCACATGGGATTGGCTGAGGCGTGTCAAGACACCCAAGAGATAGTTGGGATCCAACTCTTGGGATGGACCTAAGAGATACCGGACAGAAATGCAGCCGATGGGCAACATCCAATGTCTCGAATAAGACACTATGCAGTCGGACATGGCCAGCAGCGGGCTGCAGCATTGCTAAGCGTCTTTAGACTTTAGCATGACAAGAGAGTTTGACGAGTTGGGGATGCTGGTACGACTGGCACCCCAAAGGTTCCGCCCGAGCGATAACTCTGGGCCCGCCACCCACCACAGCGAACGCAGGTATCTCACGGAGGGGAACAGCACATCTGCAGGTAGAGATTGCACAAATCGAGGGACGAAATGAAGCCGGTCGATGTGGTTGTGTGGTTGTGTGGTTGTCAAGGTTGTCGTTGTTAGTCAGTGATGGTTGCAGCAGGCCACCTTGAACCCCCCCGGCCTCCGTCTGTCGATTCTCTTCTCGTGTCCAAGGTACGAAGTGCAGGTAGTTCTCTCCTATCAAATTCCCGTGTAAAAATTTGCACCCACCCTCCGGCCTTCTCTTCCTGTCCGCCAACGCGGTTGCTCGTTTACTACCCGCTTGTAAACAATCCTCGCAAAAGGCAGGAAGGAAAAGAAAGTATACTGTGTAAATACGTATACAATGTCTCTTGCCGTAATGGCGAATGTAGGCAAGGGGAAGACAGGAAGGAGCAGGGTGCATGGAATCATAGGTTTTTAGGGAAAGGACGGAGTTTCGTGGAGGGACGCTCCCGCCTCCCTCTGTACATAAAGCACCTTCTTTGCGCGAAACCCACTCCGAACAGCTTACGAACATATGGGACACCCGAATATGTACTATGTTACTATGAATTAGTTGTGTGCTGAGAGTAAGTAGTCGTATTAGCGCGTCGTCCCAGTTACCACTTGTTTCGATAATTATTGCGTAGCTGCGAGTGTATTGACATTATTTCGATGCAGCAAGAGGAATCGATGCGGAACTGCCCAAAATGACGGTGGAAAATTGGACCACTGGGAAGAAGCTCTCTGTCTCTGAGTCTCTCACAGGACGTGACTGGGATAAGGCCTGGAGCATATGGCCCGGGGATTGATCCCGCCCTGTCGGTTGCACTTGGGTGCATTCGGGTGGGGATGTGGCACAGGCGAGAGCCCGAGCTTGGGATCGCCCCACTCAGGCCAAAGCTCCACCCCATGCAGCAGCTGCTGCTGCATCTGCACCTGCCCTGCGGCCCTCGAGACATTTGGTGCTCCTGCCTCTCTGTCTGTCCGTACACGTCCCGCTGCGATCTCGAGCTTGGCAAAAGTGTCTAACAACAGAACATACGGGAAGACATAAATCTGTGAGGTGTAGGTATTACGAATGAAAGACTGTGGTGAAAAGACAGATGGAGAGTCGAAAGGAGCAAGAATGATTGACATGAGGGAAAAGCTAGGTATGCCTTCCCAAAAAGCTACAATACCTACCTATCACTGGCGACTGCCTTAGCCGTGAACCCAGCCCCTGCCAACACAACCACGACGACCAAACCGTGGTTGCCATCTTCCCAAACGACCCGGCGCTAATCTAAAAGAAGTAGAGTACGAGGGCGGGCGGCAGGAGACAGCCAGTCCAGAGATCAGAAGAGAGGGGGGGAATAGAAGGAGAAGCAGAGAGAGTGGGCAGCCCTTTCCTTCCATTCGATGGAGTGAAGAGTGACTACTGGGGTACTTTGCTCCACGGGCGTCGGCCTAGCACACAGTCCCTTCTCATCGAGATCGATCAACAGAGCGTAACCCGATCAAACCCTCCAAGATCGTCTAGCGATCGAAAGCAGTCGAAATGCCACTTTCCCTTTCCCCTCTCACTCTGCCGTCCCTCGCCGTCTCTCTTTCTGCCAATTATGCTGGACTGCCCCAGTTGCGGCACAGCCAGCAACACCGCATTTCCCAGCGCCCAATGTATCCTTAGCGTACCTAGTCAAGCTCCCATCTCGCTGTCTCGCGCACTGCAACTGCATCAGGTCGGCCAAACAGAACAACGAACCTAACCCCTTCCCCATGTACCATGTCCCCGGTCACATCTATCCGGCCGCCATCTGTCTGGTCAATCCCCGAACCAGTACTCCGTAACCCAGCATCAGATGTACCCCCAGCAGTACCTCCTCACGCTCTCACTCTCACTCTCTCTCTCTCACTTCGCCCGCCCAAGGTAGACTGAACCCTCTCCCATGCTTTCGCATGGAACATTGCTCCGGGTTGTCCTCTGTTCCACCGCACGCCCAGCCAGTTCACTGCCTTTTTCTTCCTCTCCACGCTGCTCCGCACCTCGAGACTAATACCCAGTCGTTTCTCCCGAGCACGTACCCTTGGATTGTATAAGACTTAGATACCGCCCTGTTCCACACTTTGCCTCCCCAACTTCCACACACCCTTTTGGTCCCTCGACCGACGAGCTCCTTCAGAAAACGCAACCGTCTTAGGACACCACGATAAACCCGTACGACTCATACGTCTCTATATCCCCGAGTTAAACACTAGGTTTCGACCAACCTCATCGCGATACCAGGTGGTTCCGGCTTCAAGGTTCTAGCCACAACGAAGCCCATCACCGCAAGTGAATAGAAGCTTCCAATATATTCCTGCACCCCGCATCAGCTACCTCTCTGGCCAAGCCACCTTTGACCCCATTACCACTCAACCATCTATAATACTCGTCGATCTCCGAATCCTCGACGTCAACGAAAATGCCGAAGCGCTCCTTGGACGCCAGCAACCTGTCGCCTACGATGCAGACTGAACGGGCACAGAAGAAGGTACGTTCAAGCCGTGATAATCGAGTCAAATCATCCTGCCCGCATTAGTACCCATTCCTTGACTATCAAATTATCCTCGAACGTCTTTCCCCCCAATTTGGCTGTACTTGCCACACTTGTACAACATTGTTTGCCATGGTGGTTTATTTGACTTGCCAGAAGAAAGTTTCCATTCCCCCGGATCCAAATGCTGACCATTCACACGTAGACGGAGAGATCTCATGAAGAGAACCAAGAGCGCGCTTACATTGCCGCCTCGCGGCGGGCGGACCGTAGTATCGAAGCCCGTGTGCAGTCCGCCAAGATGGCGAGCGAGATCCACAAGAAGCGCACCGGCAAGGGATTCAAGATCTCTGAAGCGATTGTGCAGGCGGAGGAAATGTACGAAGAGGAGGAGGACGACATGCCTCGCTCCTATCGCATGCTGGCTGCTCACCTTCAGACCGGTTCCCCAGAGTTCGACTACCGTGTCAATGCCTTTTTGGCTAACAGAGTAGCCATGGCGAGCATGGTGGCCGGGCTCCGCAACGAGGAATGGGCTCAAAACCCAATCAATAAGATGTTTGCCGAGCAGTTCCCAAACGCCAACAAGCAAGCACAGGCATTGTCTCGTAACATTACGAACTCAATGTACTCCGTTCCCGGGCAACGTTCAATGTCTTTGTCGCAGCCCGCTCAGTCCGAAAACGCGGTCACCAGCCCCATGTCACCAACCTTCTCGTCGGTAAACTTCCAGCCCGAGACCCAGCGATACCAACGCCAGAGAACACAGTCAGTGGCGTCGCCCATGGACATGGCCACACCGGTAGCGCGTGATCATCCTCAGTCGCCGCCAGCTTTGTCGCCGTCATCAGACGCTGCTGCTGGCACCCCCTCGACGCGAACAGCTTCGGCTTTCCCTTCACCCATGACGACAATCGATCACAGCCTCTTTTCTCCTGAGTCATCCTTTACCGCTGAGCTGCCTATGGATGCGAAGATGATGGTACCCAACTTGGACATGAGCGACCCGATGGCTCAAATGTTTATGGGCAACCCGCTACAGCAGCAGATGTACTACCCAGACACTCATTCGATGGCCGACCTGAAACATGAGCAGCACCTGAATGAGCTTACGCTTTCTTCGCACGAGTACTTCAACGGACACGTGAACCCTTATGCGTCTCGGTTTGAAGAGCCCAGAAGCGATGATGCGACCCCAGGCCCCGTTAATGACAACTGGGACGCCTTCCTAGACTTTGGTGAGCAGTCCGACACTGGCGCCATTGATCCGACATTGTAGTCGGCATACCACACCGTGTAATTTGACACGAAGTATTGATGGAAGTAATGAGGAAGAAGCGTCCAAAAGGGATGACAAGCAGAAGTGGTATGATATGATGAAGGGACCCTGGCTGGTTCATGAGCATGACTTTTTAGAGTACGCATTGCATCGGTCGGGCCACAAAAGGAGGCATGGAATACCCATGGGAAAGGCACTTGGTTACTTCTTTGGCGTTATGGTACGGGAAATCTCCCCGATTTTGCTTTTTTGTCGTCTTTCTTTTTCCTGTTCACAATGTCCGCTATTTTATGGACGAAAGGGGCCTGTATGTCCTCAAAACATGTTTTTCTTATGTTGGGAGCCGTCAATGTTTGGAACTTACACGCCAGGAATTTGGCCTCTGTATGTTCGCTTGGGAACGGGAACACAGGATTTGCGAGAGAGCACCAAAGATGGAAGAATTTGGGAAGGAAGATGATATCCAGGGAGGCGTGGACGGCGAGGGAAGACACGCCGAGAAAAGAGGAGGATGGATACGAAAACTCTGAAGTTGACGAAATAGTCGTTGGCAGGCCTCGCCTTACGGTGGTTCAGCGGAAGCAAGTGCTGGTAAGAGGCACGAATCTGACCAGGGTTTGGTTCAGCCGAGACTGCAAAAAAATAAGAAAATGAGAGAAACTGTTATCTGTCAATTAGTGTCTCCTTCGTGAACCCATTTGTTTTACATGTTGAGTGGGCAAGCCATTGCAAGCTGGAGGCAGTATTGCTGCACGACTCCTACCGTGGTACTTAGGTTAACATTACACCACGAACTAACGGCCACACTCGACCCCCAGTCATGAAGTTCTTCTCTTGATAGAAATTAAGCACCGTACTCATTCAGCTCGAACGGCATCTTTCGAGAGAAAAGCAGAGTTGTTGCATTAAACGACAAGTGCACTACTTAGCAGCAACAGCTTCCACCATAGCGCTTACCCTTCTGGTTCAATCACACAATCTCAGGTACCTTTCCATCATAACTTTTTTCCAGAAACTTGCCGTCAGACTGGGAAAGGAGGCGAAACTGCCTTGACCGAGGGAAGTACCGAACCGTTCACCGGCTTTGATATCTCCACTTCGCCACACTTCGGAACCGAATGTGGGGCGGGAGGACGGTATTGGTAGCCACGCGTGCCACGGTACGGAGTACGTAGAGCAAGACGTCCAGGTGCACCTTTAGTGACACTGACCTTCGCTCCCTGACCTTGGTGAGTATTCGTCGAAAGGAGATATCCCTATCATCTACCATATGACGGCCTGCTCTAAATCTAATTTAATCTTTGTTAATTGTTTACATGATGCTGATTGGAAGCCGTCAACACCGCGGTTCTCATCCAGAGTCGTGGAGTTTGCTTATCTAATCGGCCCATCCCCTAATGACATAAGCAGTGGCTGCTTGATGACGGGAGCTGCCACAGAAAGCCCAGCCGGTCAGCAGCGCTCTCCAGGGACTTGCCTCCCATAATGACGGGCCAGCCCCACAAAGCCAACGGCTGGGAAAACTTCCTACTGGCACAAGCCGCGGTCGCACCTACCACTGTAGCAAAGCTCGAGTCCCCTAGCCACTGCCCTGGTTCTGCGCGCTCGCGAATCTATCGACGACCCGCTCTTTGAACAATTCCCACCTCTCTCGGAATTTCGAAGTCTGGTCAACATTCATGTTGGCAGCTTCCAGATTCACCCGCCGAGTCATGACGTCCGCATACGCCAATGGCTCTGCTAAGGCGGCCTACTCGACATCCTCTGCGACGACTACTGCATTGAGCAGATGGAGCATCGCGACGGCACAGCTGCCTGCCGTCGATAAGATCAAGGCTCTGCACATCTACGACTTTGACAACACACGTAAGTATACCTTCTCTATGCTGCCGCGTTGCGTGATTCCTTCGCCAATCTTCTGAACCCAAAGCTAACGTCGTCTGACATCCATAGTCTTCAAAACTCCCTTGCCGAACCCCGCATTATGGAGCGGCCCTACGATCGGCGTGCTGTCAAGTCAAGACGTCATCTGCAACGGCGGCTGGTGGCACGACTCCCGAATCCTCTCAGCGACGGGTGAGGGCGCCGACACGGAAGAGAAGCGCGCGTGGGAAGGCTGGTGGAATGAAAAGATTGTCGAGCTGGTGAAGCTGAGCGTCAAGCAAAAGGACGCTCTGTGCGTGCTGCTGACGGGCCGCTCCGAGCGAGGCTTCGGGGAGCTCATCAAGAGGATGATTCACAGTAAGGGACTCGAATTCGACATGGTCGGGCTCAAACCTGCAGTCAGCCCGACGAACCAGAACTTTTCAAGCACGATGCACTTTAAGCAGCTCTTTCTCACCGCGGTCATGGAGACGTACAAGAACGCCGAAGAGATTCGCATCTACGAGGACCGTCCGAAACACGTCAAGGGATTCAGAGATTTCATGACAGAGTATAACCGCAAGCAGAACATCAATGCTACTCGCACACGCGGCCCCATCACGGCGGAGGTCGTTCAGGTCGCGGACATGTCAACGACCCTGGACCCCGTGGTTGAGGTTGCTGAGGTGCAGCATATGATCAACCTTCACAACGAGGAGATTGGCAAACACTCGTCTGACGTTCGCCCGCAACGACTGAGGATCAAGAAGACTGTCTATTTCACAGGCTATTTGATCAGCAAGGAAGACACGGCGCAATTGATGAAGATGGCCCAGATCCCCTCCGGACTGCCCGAGCAGGAGCTCAAGTTCCACGCCAACAATATTCTCATCTGCCCTCGTCCTTGCCCGGCCAGCATCCTGGAAAAGGTTGGAGGCATGGGCAGCAAGATGAAGTGGGAGGTCACAGGCACAGCGTGCTTTGAAAATAGCATCTGGGCAGCGAGCCTCCGACCCGTTCCCGCCACCGCGAAGTTCCATACGGATAACCCGTCGCCTCTCGTTGTGCTCGCCCTCCGCAAGGGTGCCCGCCCCGTAGATGCCGGCAAGATCCAGAACTGGCAACCGATTCCCGCCGATAAGGCAATGACCTTCGAGACAACAGTTGGAGAGAAGATGATCCTGCGCATCGAGCCAGAGGACCCCCGCGAAGACGAGTATGAATCGCTCTTCGCCAACAAGTCTTCTAAGCGGAAACATGATGGCGGCGACTACTCACGCGACCACCACCGACACAACCCCTATAACGGCCGCAATGAGCGCCGCGATTTCCATTCTGGGCGAGGAGGCGGTGGCCGTGGTGGTGGTGGTGGTGGTGGTGGCTTCCGCGGCGGTGGAGGAAGAGGTGGCAGAGGCCGCGGCAATGGTAAGGGCGGCCGTGGCGGACGTGGCATGCACGGCTACCGCTCCCTCGACGACGTCGAGCCCCGGAACCAGCAGGGAGGGTACGGACAGACTGTCGAGTATGACGACAACAGCTATCCGTCCCTCCCTGGGCAGCAGCAAGGCGGCTTCCAGGGGGGTCAACAGCAACAGTACCAACCTCCGCTTAGCGCGTGGAACTCGGGTCCTCCGCCGAACGCCCCCACGGGCCCAGCTGGTCGTCCCATGGGCGGCGGCGGCGGTGGCGGTAACTACGGAGGTGGTGGAAACGCTGGCAACAGCAACGATCTCCAGAGCTATTACTAGAAGGAATGCTCTCGGAAATGAGTCCGCTAAGCAATTGTTTTGGGGCGGCGGTTCAAGAACAAGCTTCTATCCAGTTTTTGGGGATCATAAGCTTTGCCAGTCGTCGCGTAAATGGGGATGGCCAACCTTCTGAGTTCTGCTGTATGTTCGAGAACAACACAAAAAGTCGGGGGTATCACAGGGTGATGGATGGGGCCGGAGTTTTCACATCTTTCTGGGCCAGGTTTCAGCTCGGCGTTTTTGGAGGGCTTTATGCTTTTTGATATGATACCTTTTTAGTCGCCTTGCAATACAAGCAGGTCATCTCATGCTCTTTTCGCCATCTCTGACGTGCCCGTGATGCTTGGTCTATGAGACACTGATAGGTCCACTTTGTTGTTTAACGTATTCTTTAATTCTTATTCTAGCATAACTTTTTGGCCAAGTCCTGGACCCTGCTTACGAGTCCGCTGCAGTGTACAACTGTGCTATGCAAGCTATCCACTCTCTACGCCAGGCATATAACACTCGTTGATGGTTCGAGTCCGTTTTCTTCCTCTGTCTCTCTCTCCTCTCTCTCCCTCCTGCACTTGCCTAATCACAACTCCCGAGACGTAGTCCGAGATGCCAACACCTAGTCGTCATCCTCTTCCGAATCATCGTCCTCCTCCTCATCAGCATCCTCCAACCACTCGACGAGAACCCGGCACTTCTCCTTGAGCGCCGCCATGCCTTCGCCCCCGCCCTCCTCGGCGCGCTCGTCCTCCCACCAGGCCAGGATGCCGTCCTCCTCGAGAACGTCCAAGCCATACAGCTGCTGCAGCATGGCGGCGAGCAGCACGCCGGCGCGCGCGTGCTCGAGGTTCCGGCACCCGAGCAGAGCGCGCTGCAGCGCGAGGACGAACTCGACCTGCTCCGTCTCGCCGCCGCCGACGCCGACCTCGGATACGAATTTTGAGGCACCCTTGTTGGAGTTGAAGGTCTTGTCGGCGGCCTTTGCGGGCTCGAGACCGCCGTGCTCGGGGTCGAGGAGCTCTGCGGCGCGGCGGGCAAAGGCAATGGCAACAGCCTTACGCATGGCCACGTCCGAAGCGTCGTTGGCGAGGCGGAGACCCATGAATTCGAGCTTGGCGGAGTCGAAGTCGCCTGATTCGGCGCGGAGGGCATCGAGGAGGCCGTGGACGGCGTCGTGGTGGAAGCCTGATTTGCCTTGGGAATCGTCTGAGACGAACGAGTCTGCGCGGTTGCGGGAGTCGGCGGAGAATTGGGTGATGCCGTCGCCGGCGTCCGAGTCGTCGTCGTCGATGTCGGAGGAGAGGGTTGAGACTGTCGAGGTGGAGAGGTTGAGGTGGGCGAGGTTGTAGAGGAGAGAGCGCTGGAGGGTGGAAGGGTCCTCGTCGTCCATGTCCTCGGCCTCTGGGTCGACGTAAGGGGCGCCCTTACCTGAGGGCCCGACGAGTGACTTGTCGGGATTGACGGGCGTGCCGTTGTGTGTGGTGACTGCGAGGACTGTGGCCTCGGGAATCTTGCTGTTGTCGCTGAGGACAACGCCAAAGGAGAGGAGGGAGCCGGCAGCGACGACCGAGCCCTTGCCCACGATGCTTGAGTCGGCTAGGATGGAGCGCAGGATGACCGTATCATCTTCGATTACGGCGTCGTCCCAGATGAAGCTGTTTTCGATGCGAACGTTATTGCCGATCTTGCACCGCCTGCCGATGATGCTGTTTGATACCGTGCTGCCGGCGCCCACGGTGGCTCCCTGGCCGAGGATTGACCTGGTAATCTTGCTGGTGGGCGCCATCACCGTTCCGTCCTCAACGCAGACTGCACCGCTGGTCATCTTGTACGTCTGACCGGGAATGACGTTGCAGTCGGGAACGAACGGGAATGTCCAACGGCCGAGGACATCTTTGCTGATTGACTCGTACATTTGGAGGTTGCTCGCGCGCGCTGCGTAGCCGTCATCGAGGACCTCTGCGTAGATCGCCTTGCCGTTCAGCTCCCAATCTTTTAGGACACCATGCAAGAAGTTTCGCCTCGGGAGCTCATAGTCGAAACTCTCGGACCACAGCGCCAGCACTTCGGGAGTACAGATATCGATACCCGCATCGATCAGGTCGCCCCGCATCTCAAAATCGGTCGAGAGCTCGTCAATCACGGCCGGGTCGAGGGTGAGGTAGTGGTCGCTCTGAAGGGGATGTATCTCGTCGTAGTGTAGGCACCGCTTTGTCTTTGAGTCGATCACGAAGACGGGGTTGATGCCGTTGGGCTTCGTTCTGTGCTCCTCCGCGCCGCCTGATCGCAGGACCACTGTCATGATATTCGTCGCCGCGGCCTCCTTGCGCGCCTTATGTGCCGCCAGCGCGCCGTCAAGTGAGATGTTGGATACCACGTCGCCGTGGACCACAATGAAGTCGCCGTCCATAATGCCACGTCCGTCGAGGTCACGGAGGAAGTCGCCGATTGAGCGGGCGTCGGATACGCGGATGAACTGCAGGCTCGTGAATGGAGTTCGAATGGACATGGGGGACCATCTTGATGTGTTGATATAGTTCTCGATCTGTTCCGAGTGGGAGCCGCAGTAGATGTAGACCTCCTGGACGCCGTTCATGGCGAGGAACTCGAGGGTATACTCGATGAGGGGCGTGTTTGCAAGGGGTAGAAGGCACTGCGGGCGGGCGGTCAGTCGTCGTCGCATAGCCCCGGGACATATATCATGACTTACTCTTGGCTTCTCTGCTGAAAAGGGAGCAAACCTATCTTGAAAAGAGTCGGCGATGAGCTGCAATGGGCGAAAAGGAAAGCCGCCAGGTTAGCCAATTCAACACCCATCACCGTGCCTGCCCCACCATGACGCTTCAGACTTACCACAGCCTGCAGGACATCCTCGCGCTTGCCCTCACCTCCAGCCTTGCCGGACTTCTTACCTTTGCCAGCGGCGGCCTTTCCCTTTTGCTGCGACATCGTGTGCTAAGGTGGATCGCAAGGGCGTGGGTGGGCGCTTTGGGGGAATTTATTGTGTTGGTCGCGGGGTGGTGAGTCAAAGCCCGGTCGCAAGCTTGGGAGTTGGAAATTTAAGGTGAGTGACTCAACGGCTCCGAGGCGGGGTGGGCCGTGCGGTAACCCTCTGTCGGTCTGTCTCGGTGAAGAGCTTCACCGAATGAATATTCCGCTACAACAAGCTCCTCTTTAGACTACAACATTACCCGACAATACAGTGGCGTTTGGCTAAATGATTCAGCCGATTTCTGAGTTTATATTCATCACTAATCTTCAAAATCTTCCAGATATCAAATCCTTCTCATCAGAAAGATTGAATCCGAATTTCTAAGCACCGGAACAAAGGATTCATGTCATATCTGCTGTCCATGATGCACATACGTCTTCCAAGTAATTTTTCAATAATTCGCCAGAGGCAAAGAAAGAAAGTCATCTCCGATCAATCACATATGACTTTATCTTAAGCTCAAGTACATAGGTATTGAAGTATGGTCTCACAAAGTTCTCTTTAAGAAAATGGAACCTTGAGGGACAGCATCGACCGTCGATACGTAGAAGTTTACTGGCCTGAGCCGATTCTAGCCACAAATCTCTCCCGTCTGCTGTCTTCTCGCCTACAAAAAAACCCTAGTTCATCTGGAAACCAAAAGGGATCTCCGATTCCCTACCAGCTTGCTATCATCTGACCCGGCCTCTCAATCCAATTTTGAAATCTCAATAAATATATCGACGAGCCGACCTTCATCTCCCAGTCCGTACTTATCTTTCAACACCACAATGATGAAATCCAACATTCGCTTTCTTATTCTGTCGGATACCCACGACTCTGCCTTCCCATCGGAGCTCCCTCCCGCAGATGTCGTCATCCACTGCGGAGATCTCACTATGATCGGCGGCATGTCGAACTACAAAGCTGCCATCAAAAGCCTTTTGAGTTGCGACGCTGAACTCAAGCTCGTGATTCCCGGAAATCACGATGTGTCTCTGGATCCCACATGGTGGGCCGACAATGCAGATGAAGACGACGATCTCGAGGAGCCAAAGAAAGCGATTGATCTCTTCAACAAATCCGGAATCAATCTCTTGAGCGAAGGATACCATTCATTCACTCTCAAGAACGGGCGTTCCTTTACTCTATATGCCTCGCCTTACACACCCGAGTTCAACGGATACGCATTCTCATACGGTGCGAATGAAGACAGATTTAATCCGGCCGAAACAACACTCTCAGACCTGGGCAAAGCGGTCCGCGGTCCGATGCCAATCTCCTCGGAAGTCGATATCTTGATTACACACGGACCGCCACAGGTCCCATGCGAAGACTACCGCCTCGATCTCGACGGCAAAGGCGCCCATTGCGGCTGCCCAAAGTTATGGCAAGCGGTTCAACGCATTCGCCCACTACTCCACTGCTTCGGCCACCTCCACGAGGGCTACGGATCCCAAGTGGTCGAATGGTGTGCTAACGGGGCAAAAAGCGTTGCAGATCCAGTCGTCAAGGAGGGGAACATCATCATGGCGCCAGAGAGGGAGGCATGCAAGACGTTGCTCGTCAATGCAGCAATCATGGATCACCACGGTGACAACAACGTGCCCTGGTTGGTAGACTATTAGGCATGCGGTGGCCTTGGTTTTTTCTGTGTGGTCTGCAAAGACAAGCAGCTTCAGAAATAACTGGGGGAGGCAAGCAAAGGATGTTACTGCAGTCTATGGGCTCTGGGATTATCTCACTTAGACTACGTATGAAGAAAGGTCTCATTTCGACATCGGAAACTCCAGCCTTGCTGAACACTAGCTCATGAACGATTCACATGGACTATCTGACTACCGGGACCGTGATTGATAACCGACAAGTGTTGAGAGTTGTTCGGCGTTTAGGTCTGAATCATCCGAACACTTCTAGGGTGGTTCTTGGGTGGTGTTCAGTAACCAGACGAAGTTGATCCGGCCGTTTGGGGCCCTGAGCTTAAAGAACGACTTGCCGTGGTTATCACCAACGGCGTGAACTCGGAGGATTAGATCTGTTCCATAAATGGCTTGAGTCGTCACAGAAATGAAAGATTTCAACCTGAAGAAGGGCGTTTTCTTTCGTCTATTCTCATCTAGGCATACTGCGCTGTCATTGTGGACACAGCATGCATTTGCCGGGAACCTCTGTTCATGCTCAAGCCTCCGGTGGCCGGCCACTTCACCCCCTGAGATCGCAGCAAGCAACTCCAAAGGAAAATGCGCAGGGGCTGCTTCTTATTGCAGACCTCACTCATTGTCCCCAACATCTGCTCAGCCATTAAATTTGTCCCGTACTCACACCGACGGAAATTAGAGTCATGGTTTTGCTTTTGGTCAAGCAAACTTCAGTAGGCATGTGTTAGTTCGATCAGCAGACATCAGGGGAAGCTGATGATTGGTCTCACATAGATTTAGAGCCTGACAGATTCATCAAAGGAAAGCTTAACACATGTATCAAATATCAAGTGATTGACAGAAATTTCTGCGTGATCTGTAAAAGGCTAGAGCCCCTTGGATAGGGTCTGGTGACTGATGTAACATGGATTTGCAATCAACCCAAAATTCAGACATCAAGCTGTCAACGTCGACCAGCTAGCGCATGATGACTCACAGGAATGCCTTCCTAGATGACCAGAACAGACGCAACACCACGTCCAAGAAGATGCCGCCGCTTGCTTTAGAGTCAACGCCTACAGACGAGAGGCAGCTGGCAGCCAGCATTCTCACCCGAACCCCTTTCAAAATTTCCATAGTCATCTGAAGTTTACGATGGTATCCAGACATGAGAATTGCTGAGAGGCGCATTTAGGAAATCTTGATGTGATACAGATGAGGTAAAAGCGTATACACCCTATACAGGCCTGAGAAACTTAGGACCAAGGGCGCGATCATGGTCCCTTTATTCAATATTAAGACAGCCACGCCGTGAGAATCTGCCAGAAGTTGTGGAAAGGCTTCAAACTGCATTCCAGGCAGCTGTACTTTGAATAGGAGAGAATTTGAGAAATCTGAAAAACTTGATACAGCTAGCCACTTTCCCGGCGCCGCAAGGCCTAGACTGCATCCAACAAGATAGGTAGAAGGCCGTCCGATGAAATTTGGCCCGTCATTTTCAAATATTTCATCCCTCTTCATACTACCTCCGTCACGCACGGGTTATCCTCGTATCCAAAAATCAGACCACTTACACGGGATTTAAAACCCCAGATCCCGGAGTAAACCACCCGAAGGCCAAGATCGAACCCCTTGGCCCAGCACGTCAACATACCAAACAAAGTAAAACGCCACAGCATGCCGAGGCCTACCTACCTTTTGCGGCTGATGCATGCAGTATGGTAAGAAAGGGAAATGGTCCCCGGCAATGGCACGTTGAAACGGCTGACAAGTTTCGTTTCCCAATCATCAATCATCAGGGTTGGTCCGGTTGGTGGTCCAGACCGTTACACCAAAGGGAGGAAGTTGATTGGAACTAAGCGGCTTTGTATGATTGGCTCTAGTTACGCCCATCTCACCTCCGAAGACGTGCATGATACTGCATGCTTGCTTTGTGTACGAGGCTAGTCTGGTTTTTGACTGGAGTCCTCCCTTTTGTTTTCCCCCTATGGGTATGTTACCCGTATTTATTCGCTCTAGCCGAGAATTTAGGCTCTATGACCGTCGGATGATATGGGAAACCCCCAAAGCAGGTCGGAGAATCGCATGTTCTCCAATTGGGTTTTTCTTCTTTCTTCAGGCTTGATGGAGACGTCGATGGTTAAATTACCATGAATTTCCAGACCCTGGATTGATGGCTTGCCATAGTCTCATATCTGGAAGAATGAGAATCTGCATGACGGCAAGACTTAAATTCCTTACATGCAGAACCAGAAGAGAGTTCGGGGTCGCATTGAGACATACTGATACGAGTAACAGACTAGAGGAAGCATCACAAACTCGTAGGGTCGCTAGCAAGTCATCCGAAGCGCCAAAAGATCAAGAGTTGCCCACAGGTGTGTGTCCATGATGTAAGATCTAGAGCGGTTTATGCAGTCTGACTTTGATACGGCCGTGTGACAAGCGACCTGCATACGACCTGGTCTATCCTCATGTTGTCTTTTTCGAGCTGCTTCCTTTCGATGCAAAGTTGTATAGCAGATGTCAAAGTAGAGGTCCTCTACAATGGTCGTCTCGAGTCCTGACTCCGGAGAGAAAGGTTTGGACTACCTTCCTTGGCGCAACCCAGAGGCAGGCGGCCAGCATTCAAAATGTGAAACTTGATCCTATCGCATGCTTCTCTGCCGGAACTCCATGCTTTTCTGCTTGCCGAATAAACCAGTTGATGGCGAAGCATCCCCAAGACGTTACACAACATGCCTCTGATTAGACGAAAACGGCCCTCTTCACTATGATCGAATACCAAACGTCCATATTACGTTTACACGTGCAGGTGCAGAACGGAAGACGTCATGTTTCCGATACCTTCTTAATCATGGGTACCGAGGCGTTTGGGGAGGTAGGCAGTGACAATACACGATTTATTGCGAGTGACTGACACCTGTCTCGTAAACTGTCACCGAGAGACCCGTATGGCTTGGAAAATGCCATCCTCATTTAGGCTAGACGATCAGGTCATCGATGAATCTTTCATCATTAGGGTATCTATCTCTTTGCTTTTTTCTTGCTTATTATTTCGTAACGGATTACCTATCTTTTGTTTCTTTGAACTAGGTTATCGCACTCTCTGAACCCTTACGTGGCTAGCGGAAGACTTGGGAGAAGTCCGTTGGAAGACCCAGATGGCAATAGGTACCGAGGTAAGCAGGCAAGACACAAGCCATCAATTTCCAGGGCCGAAATGTGTTTTGATGATACGGAGGGATATTGACTGTATGTGACAAAGGGGATGCTGTACCATAGTACCGAATCTCCCCCTTCCTCAACACTGCTATTCGCATGGGTGGAATTCTTAGCCACAC